ATGCAAGTATTTCTCTCAGTCACACTAGAATCTGACTCTTTGCAAATCTACAACTTTGTGGAACAGACATGGTAATACGTTGGCTTTGTCTGGTCCTGCAGTCTGTGATAAGGGACTTGAATGCCTTAAAATTGGCTCAAATACTATGTCACATGGAGAAATGGTATCATTTCCAAACTGTCTGTGTTACTGCTTGGCACAAAGAGCTCAGGATTTTCTTACTTGAAAAGTCCTCTGTGAAAGCTGGAGTTTACTGCGTGTTAATATAAGTATACTGCCAACGTGGGTAATCCCAGCATTAGGAAAATTGTCAGTTATTCTTTTGGTAACTTTAGAAATCTGTCAGTATGAAGCAGGAAAAGAACTGTAACCGTTTTTCTTATAGCATATGGGCTAAATATCTTAGCATGCTTCTCTGCTTTGTGTTACTGCAGTCTTGACCTCTTAATTCTACATTTGGGGAAGTCATTGTTCTTGTTATAGTTCCTTGCTATGTCTTTGGTATAACTCCTTCCCGATCACTGAGTCACTTTCTGTTTTTAGATTTAACTTCACTTTAGCTTATTGTTATGACTAAATCCTACTGACTTGCTCCCCGAAGCTCTTGTCACACACTAGGTGAGGTGGAAAAATATTGCATTCTTTTCTTAGAGCATGTATCAGCCTTTCTCTTTTCTCTCGAAACAGTGAAACATTAACTAAAAAGGGTTAAGAAAGACATGCCAAAAGCACTAGGATGAGGCTAAATGAGAAGGTGCTGCTACTGCAGCATGTTTTTCCCTGGTGTATAAGCACTGCCTAAAACTGTATCACCTGTCAATTATTGATAGAAAAATCTATTTCCACAGCTCTGTCTCTAACGACAGCCTCAGTGATGAGAAACTAACGGGTAAGTGGTTACATTTTGCTACTTCTGCTGTAGAATTATTTTAAATGAGTTTCTGTTTCAGTGGGAGGTCCTGGTATGGCTTTATTTTGCAGGATGTAATCTTTTTTGTTAAATTCATTTTATGTATATTTGTTGTTGCTCTTATCAGTAATCTGTGTGCAGAAGAATTTGGTATATCATACTGCCACATGCTGCTACCATTTTTTTTTTTCTCCACTACTGCTTTCTATTGCAGGCTATGTGAAGTGACAAAAGCATTCAAACTGAAGGTAGTGTATGTTTTTTTGTACATATTTTGGTTTGAGTTCAATTCTTGTTCATCTCAGGTGCTGTTTCTTCTTTTTTTCCTTTCTCAGTTCCTCATCTCATACCTGCAGATTGTCTTTCCTTACAATGAAGAGAGAAACCATGAGCATCTTCTGAATACAGTGAAATTTTATCCATTAGCTAAGCAATTTTTTTTTTTTTTTTTTTTTTTTTCCTGGAGAGCAGCATGAAGCTTTTCCTACATATCTATAAGTTTTTTCCAGTATATCTGTATGCTAGAAAGAAATCCTTTACTCAGAGAGTGGTGAGGCACTGGAACAACCTGCCTGGAGAAGTTGTGGATGCCACATCTCTGGAGGTACTCAAGACCAGGCTGGATGGGGCCCTGGGCCGCCTGATCTGGTGGGTGGCAACCCTGCCCATGGTAGGGGGTTGGAACTGAATGGTCTTTAAGGTCTCTTCCAACCTAAGCCATTCCATGGGTGACAATGTTGACCTGTGCTTTAATTATATACCTGAACTGTGCTTTCAGGGCTGTTATGGAATTGGAACACTGTGATTTTAAGCCAACAGCATTCAATAGAAATACCTACACTTACTTTATTGGGCAATATCCTGTAGCGTATTTGCATTTACACACTGGACTTGAGACAAATATTGTCACAGGCACAGAAGAATAAACATTGTAATTTTCAGCCTAAGATAGTATGCTAAATAAAAAACTGGAGCACCTTTCAACCATGCTTATATTCATTGGGGAAGTTTATTACAGCGTATTCTTTCTTTTGAATATTTGGAAGCCAGCTAACTTTGCAGCCAGCATGTATTTGCCTTTTAAATTTATGCCCTTCTGCTTCACTAGGACTGTAGCTTTCAAATTTAAGATTAAAGCAATGAAAAATCAAGTTGAACCTTGGAAGTAAATTAAATACTGTATGGCTCTAGTCTCTGACTGAGGACTGTTATTTCAGTGCATTTCTTGAGTGTAGCTCTTAACCAATACACAATGGCTTTTTGCTGCTCAAAAAACACTCCAGAACCAATTGCTTTTAAGTGTTTCTTTTTAGGAGCTGACAAAGATGGATGAGGACAGGGCTAACTGTGACATTGTTCTAATCTTGGATCTGTGCTACTGCTGTGATTCCAGTTATGAAGGGAAATATGTGTGCTTCGGTTACTTACCTCATCAGATTTTGTAGATATTTTAAATTACAATAAAACCTACAATACCATTGCCAATACAACCGTGGTTTTGATAAATAAACTGTTTAGTACTTACAGTAAGGTTGAGGTTATGATTCAGAAGGTATATTATTCTGAATATCCTGGAGAACTACTTTTTGGTCAATAAATTTTGTGGTCTAATTATTATTGGCTTTTGGCAAAAACTAAAGCTGGTGCATGGGAAGTGTGGTGTACATTGTTTTTCTTGTTTGTTTTGGTCATTCCAAGTATTCACTTTATGTACAAAATTTAAGGCATGTTATTCTTCTAGACTTTCTGACTGCTTGCTGTATTCCTCTGTAGGTAAACAGTACAGATGTAAAACATTCCTATAATAGGATACTGGAGTTGCATCTCGTTATTGATGAAGACAGAAATTCTATTTGGATCCCCTACAATGAATTAAAGTAGATAATAACCTGGGATTTGTAACCAATTCTGCCTTTAAAGCAGTTCTTATAAATCAGGTCACTTGCTGTTAGAGAGGCTCCTGTGGATCTGCATCCTTTCCCAACTGCTGAATTTCTCCTTTTTTCATTCGTAAAAATATTTTTAAACACTGCATTTTAAATGATGTACCACATTAAGGCCCAAATACTAAGCTGTGGGGAGGAGTTTGTTTTTACTTAGTGCTTTGTAGATTCTGGAGTTTCTCACCTGTTTATCAGCTGTTTGAAAAGTATTACTACCACTAATATACTACCACTAATAAAATACTACCACTGAGTGCTGTTTGCAGTTATCTTAGTGAGGCTGTTGGCCAAAACATATCATGTTCATTACAATACAGGAGATCAACTAGCAGTCCCCATACAGGCACCTTGGTACTCCCAGTGAAGCTGAGCAAATTGAACAATAGTAGGAAGTGATGATACAATATGGTAAACAAGTTAGTGATTGTGTAAGAGCAACTTTCTTGTACTTTCATGACCAGAAAGAGCTTTGAATAGATGTCTCTTGTGAGTACACTTGGTAACATATTCGTCTTGATTTTTGTTTAGCATTTTCGCATTAGGTGCTGAAATTGCAGGCAGATGTCTACTAATTTATATTTCAAGCTGCTATGGAGTATCCTCCTTGTTGCTAAACATCCTTTTGTGACAGTTTGTCAGAGTATTTGTGGGCCATGTGTGATGATTGCAGATTGTCTTCAGGTGGGCTGAAATAGCTTGATGACCTGTGGGCCTGGAAAATGGGAGATGCTATGAGACAGACTTTGTGTGGGGCTAAGGTGTGGCTCTTGAAACACACAGGTCTGTAGAAATGCTGTATGTCCCTGAACTTGAGGCCAATTTCCTACTAAGCCAACAGCTTAGTAGCTGCTGAAGCAAGCATGTAATAACTAGCAAAACCCTTCACTACTATGATGAACACAGATCTGAGGGAGCAAAAAATCTTAGTTATTTAGGTCACACTGAAAATACCGAACTCTGATATTTGCTCAGTTTATGCTCAGCAGTCTGCTTTCCCTTACATCTTTTCATGTTTCTGTGAAATTTTTTGTTATTTCTATTTTCTGTGTAACTGGGGAATAAGAAGGGGAGCACTGTGCTTTGCCCTTCCATATCTGTGGTCATCTGCCAAGTGGTATAATTGCATCTGGAGTGCACCTCCATTGCAGGGTGAAGACTCCTCATGTCAGGAGCTTTGGGGATTTCTTTTGAGCTACTGTGCATTTCCAGATGCTTTTGACAACACTGAGTAAATTGCACTAATAGACTCAGATGAAAGCAGTCTGATAGTTTCAAAATCTATATTAAAATATTCAACTGTTGGTAATTACTTATCGTTACACAGGGAGTCCAGTTAATTCAAATAAAACTGGCAATCCAATTTTTGTAGAGCATCACCTCAGTAAATACAGGAAAAAAAAGAGGTAGAACAGTGAGAAACTTGAGAAATGTCTGTTGTCTTTGAGAGCTATTGTCATAGATACCGCAGCTTGAACTCTGAGGTCAAGATTTCAGTTTATATGTGTAAAGCTAGGTACGTGCAAGGCCTCATGACTTTTCAAAGTGGTTACCAAACATGGAGTGATTTGTTAGTAAATTATTCTATCATTCTTAATGCTTAAATCTATTAAACTACATCTATTTTAAATGTACATATGCAAACTAGCCTCTTTTTATTTGAGTACACGGCATCGATTTAATAGTTACTGATGGGATCCTCATTTCCTTGGAGAATCTCACTGATTTTGAGTGCTCATTGGAATAGATTCTCAAGTTGCACTGTTTTATTTTAAGTTTGAATTTGATATTCCCCCGGTCTCTGTTTTGATCTGATTAAGTCAACCGTTTTCTGGGATGCTTGCTCTTTGGGGAAAAAAGGGCTTGATGACGTGAGAGATACTATTTAGTGTTGGAAAAATAACCTTTTCATTTCCATACTGCATCAGGACTGAAAGTGAAGGATCATGAAAGGCAGAGGTCATGTGGAAGCACCGTGGAACAAGTAACTTGGGAAATGAAAGAATGGTTTGTTCAAAAATGCTTTTATGTAATCTAGTCCAGAAGAAAACCTTTTGGGGAGCATAATAACTTCTTCTGATGAACTTTAATTTTGTAATAACAAAAAAGAGCTTTTTTAAAATTTTTTTTTTTTATTTTTCTCCCTACAGCGAATTACAGCTTGTAACCAAGGAAACAAGCAGTATTCCATTTATTATAAAACCTGGTTTTCCTTCTGTACCCGACTGCACCCAGGCGTCCTCCGAGCCTCTGTTACTATTACTTTTGTCCTGTTACTTTTGTGCATCTTCTTGAAACTGTTCCCTTTGGTGGACTGAAACATCTGTCTTGGTCTCTGTGTGAGTGCAACATTGTTACCCTCTAGCAAGAGTACCTGACCTCAAGAAGGGACCTCCTTGTTTCGCTGGCCATTGCTTCCATGGTTTTTTCCGTGTCTCTGAATGAAGATTTGACATCTATTAGAAGAGTGCATAATTCAGCTGTGATGATTAAAATTCTCTCTTTTATAGACCTGTCAATAGAAGAGCTTCTTCACAGATCAGTTTGAAGAGATTTTTCTGAGAATTACTCAATCTAGTGACTTTGTTTTACATATGGCCTAACTAATTGTCCTCAGAGTACTCCAAAGGTCACCATAAGTCTTTACTATCCAGTTGTGGATGCGCGCCAACAAGTTGGTTGGCTGGTAGTCCGTAAGGATGGGAGCTGAGAATTTCTATTACAGTGTTGAACACTACGTCTGTAGATAAAATATTCATGCCTGGGTGTTTGTGGTCCCTATTAAATAATCTGAGAAGCATTCTACTCTAAAGAGTAGAATATAAAGAAAAAGAGGAAGTCAACAGCGTAGTGTAGATTTGAGCTTTATGGACTACTTTCAGAGTATCGTGACTTTATTGAAACTCAGGATAGATATTTTTCTCTGTTGCATCAGCTCTGCAAGTTGCTTGATTTTTATTGCTATACGATAGCTTGTAAATCGGATTATATTTGTAAAGGCTGCCATTTCTAACGGAAATATTAGTCATTTTGACATTTTTTCCAAACTTGAAGGTTTTTAGCCAGTACAGCTGTGAAACAACTGCTAGGAATCTGTATATATGCATACAAGTCCTTAATTGGCAAACAGACATACTTAAGTGTTATTCCCAGAAACTAAACATGTCTTGTACTCTGGTGGTATTCTTAGCTTGAGAAACAGATAACATGCAGTATCCAGTGAGTCACTGTGTCCAGTACTGCTTTTCCTTAGCTGTGCTGGTAAAGAGGACACATGCTTCACTTTCACTGTCTTTGTATCTAATTTTAGCAGGAGGACTTTCAGGGCGCCTTCTCAGCTGAGGATGTCCAAAGTATTAAAACCTCAAAATGATCTGCCAGTTTTGATTGTTTGTTCTCAGTGTCAAACACTGTATCTACCTCTAAGGCTCTGCCTTTTATTACCTGTTGGATAAATACAGGTTTCAGAGTTAATTTGCACAACTCTGAACAGACATGAGGGTGATGTTTTTGTTTTCTTTCAATCAGAAATCATAAAAGAACATCATAATCTATTCCATTAGAGAGCTTTTAAGGATAGCTTCTCTCTTGAAATGAAGGAAGATCTTGCAGCTCAATCAACCTGTTTTTGGAATTTCTTACCATAAATGTGACTTGTCTGGAATAGAATAATTATTCTCTCCTTCTCTCTGATAAATATACATACAAGTAATGCTGTGATAATGTTGCCAATGTACATCTTGCCCAAACTTATGATAAAATTCATTTCACATCACAAATCATGGCTAAAACTTGACTTTTTAACTGCAATTTTTGCTATATATAGCAGAAGAAATTCCTCATGCTCTGTACAAAGTTATTTTAAGTAAATTTTGCAAACACCGCATGCAGCAGTATGAACTCATCTAAAGCTTGGATAAAGAACTTTAGCCAAAGTCAAGCACCTGAATGTTTAGACCACAATTTCCCTCCTGAGTGTTTTTCTAATGTTTTAGCTTGTTGTTCTCATGTATGTGGGATTTTCACATGTTGAAGTGTATTCTGAGATTAACAAACAAACAAAAAAAAGTGAATGTTTTTAGCAATAGACATGAAAATTTCAGACAAATGATTTAGAAACTCACTGTTCAGATACTTGACAAGCAAGACTGTCTTTTAAATTTCATCAGTTGTGTCATGAAGTATCTTGAAACTGTGGTCATGTATTACAGGGTGATTACTGACCAATCATTTCTAAAAATGCTGATAAAAACGAAAGTGGAAAAGGTTATTAAAATAATTTCAATTATTTTCCCTTTGATGTCTTAAAATGCATAATGCATGGTGTCTGATTTCGATATGTTAATTTAAATATGGTTTTAAATTCCTATAAATTCACTGGGATTTGAAGAGTCAGAAATTTGCAGTCTCAGTTGAATTCAGTATTGCCTGTTTTCACTCCCCAGTCTTCTGCACATAAATGAAAATAAGACAGTGAGATAGTACAATCTTGTAAATTAATACTGCAAAATTATTTTTCCCTGAAACAAAATGATTGAACTGCATTAAAGTTTTACATCTACAATAACTTGCTTTATCCCTGAAGTGTTACTTTTGACTTATTAGACACAGTTCCATAGTTAGTTTTCTACTTTTCATTTTTATTTTTTTAGGATTTATGTATAAAAAAATGTCTTATAACTTTTAAAACAAATAATTCTCCATTCCAGAACTAATATTTGCTACACCCAGAGACGGAAATGGTACGAATAGAGCGTTAAAATCCCATCATTTCGACAACTTCATCATTTTCTGAGAACCTGGAACGTAATTTGGGCTCTGCTTCAGCACTGTCTTAGATTATAATGCCATCCTTGCCTAATGAGGGAGGTATGCAGGTCTTATATTTTTTCTATAGTCTATTAATTATTTCTGTTGTCTTGTACCTGTAAGTTGCAGTGAAGCTATAACTGACTAGTTTAGATGCTACTTGATGGTATTATGGTTTTAGTTCATTTGTTTACATTTTTTAAGACACAAATGTTATGCTGATAGTTAAAACATTATTTTTCAAAGATAACCATGGAACTGCTGCTGTGACTTTGCAATCGGAACTACCCTACCAAAGCACAATTAAAAGAAAAGTCAGAAAGAAGAAGAATGGAGTCATCACTGCAAATGTTTCTGGCACAAAATATGAAATTGGTAGGATGCTACATATCTTGTTTTCATCATAATAGCCATTGATGTGAGTGAATTGCTAACTAATGGGGTGAATTAATGGGCTTTGCAGATTGACAGTGAGTCAAGTCCAAAGGATTTTATTTTCTAGGAAACCTTAGTTCTTTTTTTTATAACATTGTGTTGATGATTCTGAACACTGTACATCTACTACTCATGGAAGGGCTTTGAACTGAAAAAAACCTAATTAATCAAGGTGTCTGTGGAAAAAAAAAAACCACCTTAATTATGAATCAGGTAAGTGTTTGAAGATATACTTAAAGCCTTAGAAGATGAACGGTGTAAATTTAATGTTGAATACCCTTATTATTATATAGAGGTTTCTCAATTAAAATCTAATAAAGTTTTACATTTTAATGCTTGGGGCTACTATCACATTAAATTTATAGTTTGCATTCTGCTGTGGAAGAAACAATGTGCAATACTAAAATATTGTAATTTGGCCTCAGGCTTTTACATTGTGTGTTTGTGGGAACAGCATGGTATTTCTGTATTGTGGTGGAATAGTGGAAGAGAATCTGGGAGGCAGCACTAATGCTGATTCTTGATTAAGAGCAAATAATGACACTAAATATATGCACAATGAGTTTGTTCTGATAGTTGTCAAACAAACAAACAGAGAAAACCCCCACAAAAACCCAAAAGGCGAAGAGTGAAGATGTGTAGCTTATCCTTCTCAAAAGGATAATTATTAGTGACTGAAGAACAACACTTCCTCTAGCCTTATTTCTTTTCAATTGTGTAAATATTTCAACGAATTTTTCAGAGACTGCAGGGCTATTAATTATTTCAGAGACTTTCAGTAGCATCTGTGAAGCTTCAAAATGAACTGTCTAGGCTGGAAGCCAGTGGAGAGTTTCTCTCAGGTTCAAGTTGAACTAATAATGACAAACTTCCAAATTCCAAACTCATAGTACATTCAAATAGACTTGCTGATTTTTTACCAGGTGGGGAAAATGTAAAATCCAGAGATGTGCCTTCTCTAAAGAGGTGGTATCAGAACAGACTTATGGGTTATATTGTATATGGTTATATGGGTAGCGCAATTAATAACTTCAGGCAGAAGATATCTCTTTTAAATTGCTTTGTTTTGTAAGTTTTTAGGAAAAATCTATCTTAGAACCTGTGTTATGCCTGGCACAGACAGACTTTTCTCTTTTTTTATCTTCAAATAATGTGTGCATGCGTTTTTGTAGCTGTAGTATTCTTGACTAAAGAAGCCTTGTCCCTTCTGCAATGATGCTTATACGCATCGTATTTTTAAAATTAACATAAATGATGGTCAAGATTAAATCTAAAAGCTGTTGCAAGTGGACCTTTACTAGATCATTGTGGAATAACTTGAAGTTATTTGTGGTTCCCCACAGTGATTGCCTCTCATTTAAGCACTAGTATGAAGTCCTATAATGTTGTAGTTACAGTTTTGAAGTAAGCTAATGGAAATATTTCGAGTTAAATAAGAGCTTGCATTCTAATATTGCTCTTAAACATAGGGTTGAATGTTACATATGTTCAAAATCTTGATTATTTTTTCAAGTTTTGAAAATTAATGTGCTTTAGATAGTAAAAATATTCCTTAACTATGCAATTTCTCTGTAGTACGCATTGTAATACAAGAAATGGGATTTGTGAAAACACGCGATGAAGATGAAACAGCTAATCTTATTTGGAGTGATTCTGCTGTGCAACAGGAAAAGATTGCTGAACTTCGGAACTATCAGGTAGAACATAGTTTATACTTCTGACATGTTTCAGTAAACTGTTTCACTTGGAGTCCTTCAGTAACACCTTTTGGTCAGTTGCGTGTATAGAGAGGGAAAAAACAAAAGAGCAAAACAATGCTAGGCAGACTGTAACAAGACTACACCACTATATATTTTGAAAAAATTATTCTCTTTTCTGTAGTTATTTGTTCATACCATTTGGAATCTGGTGTTTAAATGTTTGGAGCTATTCTTTCATGCTTTTGTCTGCCCATGAGATGCTATGAATAGTCACAGTTAACAGAAGATACGTTCTCTTGAATGATTTAGATGTAATAGTGACTACATTTGCCTGAGCATGGAGTTAAATGTTTTGAATGATTATTGGTATTGATTTTACCAGAAAAGCTAAAAAGTATCCATTTGCTTTCTCTTCTTACTCCTCCCTCAGAGAATCAACCATTTTCCAGGAATGGGAGAGATCTGCAGAAAGGATTTTCTGGCAAGAAACATGACTAAGTAATCTTTCTTTTAGTACTAAGAAGTTTTTTTTTTTCAGTGATTTAATGCAGTAAAATGCTGAATTATTGCAAGGTTTGTTTACCTTTAAGAAGAGGCTCTGAGAGGATCAAGAATAATCTTCAAAGTTCCTCTGGCTTTTGGTCATGGACCTGCAGTACCTGTCTGGGCTATATTTTATCGTTCTGGTTGACTTGAGTGGGAAATGATTTGGTTCAGCTTTGTGTCTATTGCTGCAGAATGCCTGAAGTAGCTTGACATTATTATGTAATGGATGTAATATATAGACCCAGAAATTAGTTCATGTAATGCTAGAAAAGTATAAATGACAAGTATGTGAATAGACATTACTTGTTTTTAAAATAACCAATGATTATATTTTTGTATATTTCACATTAAAAATGTGAAGTGTTTTACTTTTAATGTAAGAAATGTCAAATAAGCTAATTTGTCTTGTTTATACATTTGCCTTCCTTTAGTGAAATAAATGAGAATTATGTTAGCTTAAAATCTGTGAGTAAGACCTGTGAGAAAACAAAAGTAAATGATGATTCATCAGCTTAGTAATAAGAAAGAGCCTAGAGAGAGATGTGTGTGAATATTTTGATCCTTCTAACCTAAATTAGTTTAAACAACAGTTTTAAAAAGTTAATATTTTGGGCCCAAATTTTATCTATACTACATTTGCCCTTACCAAAATAGAATAGCGTTCATTTATTAATATATTTAATGTAATCTGTTCTCTCTTTTGTGTCCTCTCTTTCTTTTTTCGCTTTGTAAATACTATGTATCATATGTAGAATATATGCAAATAGTACGTGCATTGCTATGGTGCCTACAAATCCTGCTTATGGACCAGAATCTCCTTGTTCTGGTCCATAAGTATCTGCTGCTCAGGAACTTCTCACTGCCCCTTCCAGACTTAACTCTAAGTAAAAGCATGGAGATCGACTGATACAAGTAGCTATTTGGAGACTTCTTTGAAGCAATGGAACAATTTTGATTAGCTTGAAAGGCAGCACTATCCTTGTATATTGCCACACTTCTGTGGTTTAAAACAAATGTTCAAAATGAGCAAGAGGTTGATGTTATCATGCACATGTTGTTTTCTAATACAATCTCATTATGCCTCTCTCAATCTACTGAATTCAGAATTTGAAGCATTTTAAAGATGCTGAAGGTGGAAACTGCATATATTAAAGATGACTTTTTCATTTTCTTCAAAGAGAATCTACAAATGTCCATAACTTACTTATCTCTACACCCATTTCTTGGGAGAAGTAAGCAAACAGCATAAAGAGGAAAGTGAGACTGAAAAGATTTAGAATAAAATTGTATACCTACAGTGATACTAAATCGTTCTTCATCAGAGGAATCATTTTGTTTCCATATGCAGAAGGGTGGAAGGGAAATAGTGTAATATGTAGCGAGTGTAATATGTAAGTGTATGTAACTTCTTACCTATTTCCTAGCAGGGAAAGTATAGGAACATAGCAGAAATGAACCAGTAGCAGCAGAAATGAAACTGAGAACAAAAGAAGAGTAATTTTGAGAGTAATGAGAGTAATTTTCAAGCAGAATAATCAGAGTGGAGGAAAAAAAATAGAAGGTGGCATTTTAAGGCCAACTAAATCTTGTTTTCTATACATGGTCTCAGATGCAGTCTTCTCATGTGAGTGATGAGTGTGCCAATCAAACAGGTCAAACAATAAGTATGGCAAAAGTTTTACAGGTGGAATGGGAAAGGGAAGAGCCATGTATGAGATGACTTTTTATGCAACACCTTTGTTGTTTACCTGTTTACATTTAAATGAACTGATTGTGGACAGAGGACTTTCTTATTCCCCACTAATTTCTTTCCTACTTGAAAAGTCAGAAGATCTTGAAACATAGGCAGTGGAACCTGTGTTATTTGATTGGTAAGTCAGTTCTTCAGAAACCTACATTTTGTACAAAACACCTTTGATTCTTTTGCACAGAATGCACTTGGAGAAACAAGAGCAAGGTCTGACCAGTGAGTTAAACAGCACTCGAAAGAACAATACTTGCTTTTTAATTCTCAGATCTCAGTCCTAATAAGGACTGCAAGGCTAAAGGACAGAATAGCACAGTGAAGAAATGGTTACCAACAGTAGTAGATAACAGATGTACTAGCAAATAGAACTATTGTAAGGGGATAGGTCTTTGTTCAGGAAGCTGCTTGATGTTCCTATACCATTTGTGAATAGGGCCAGGCAGGAAAGAACAGAGCTGAATTCTTCTGTCAAAGATTTCAGTGTGCACCAGAACTTGTAAACAATGACAAGTATTCAGCTTCATATTATGAAGTGTTTGTAGTCTACTCAGTTATGCGTAAGATTAAAAAAAAAAACAACAAGGCACACAGAACTGATGTAATTGCAGTCAGAAAATAATCTGTAATACCATCAAGTTATATACTTCTAATATTGAATTCTATGAATTAATTAAATAGCAAGTTTCTGTCATGTAACTTCAGGATGTGCAGGATAAATAATTTGGAGAGAAAAGTGAACGGACGAAGAAGTTGCTTTTTGCCTAAATATAGTAATATAACTATATTTAATATAATAATACATAGTAGTATATAAAAACTAGTTTTAAGTATGCATTAATAATGATTATAATATTATTTTATTTTATTCTGAATATTTATTGGCTTTCATCGGGTTAGATTTTAAAAAATGATTGTTACATTGAAGCTGCAGGAGCACTGAGTCTCATGCAGTACTTCAAGACTACTTCAACTGATGTGGTTCCTGCTGAGCTTTTGTTGAGTAGTTGGCTGAACAAGTTGGTGACAGTCTATCTATTATACCAGTAGGTCTTGGCTGCAGTCCTAGTCTTACAGATGCAGTTGGCTGTTCTGTTTCTTCTGCTAGTGTTTGAGTCACTTAAAGAAAAACTGCTTTATACTGTATGAGGATTGTGTGGGTTCGGAGCAGAAATGAAATATTGAAATGATATTGTAAGTCTCCTTTACGTTTAAGTTATCCTGACACCATTAGCTTCCATTAGAAAAGAATAAGTATAGCTAAATCTGGAACTAATTAAAAGATATTAAAATTCACCATAGTGCCATTTTAAAAAACTGAAGTCTGGGCAATTTGCTTTGCCATCTGAAAGTTGCATGCTTAAAAACAAGGGATCTGTGGATATTTGTATTTTTGATGTGTCCACCCTAAATGCTACAGACTGTTGTCCAGTTACCCGAGCTAACTTCACAGAAAGCAGAAAGCTACATATGGAGTTTCAGGAGTTCTGAGTACCTGAAACATGCCAACTGCTTCAGTATTTAACTCAACTAAGACTAAATTTATCCTGCTGACAACTGAGGTATGCTAGTCAACATAGTACAACTTAGTCTAGATTGCTTGTTAAACTTGGCTGCTACCAGTATGTATCCAGCCAGCACTGCCAACCTGGTGTGGGTATATAAGCTTTCTATCTGCCAGCAATACAGCTTTGGGTGATGGAAGTTTCTACTAAGCTTCTGCACTGGAACGAACTGCCCAGATAGTTTGTGGAGTCTCCTTCCCTGGAGATATTCAAGACCCACCTGGATGCCTTCCTGTGCAACCTGCTCTAGGGAACCTGCTTTAGCTGGAGGGTAGGACCAGGCAATCTCCAGCCTTCCAACCCCATGATTCTGTGATTCTAACTGAATTCTCTACTGTTCTTCCTCTAAGATCTCTCTTTGCATTCAGACTGTAGAGGTATGAAGTCAGACATGCTCACACCTCAGCTGCCCCAGCTATTAAAGCAGAGAGATCAGGTCCTTGCTTCATCTTTTAACCAGAGTCAGTTTATGAGCTTGTTCCCATGTCTTAACCTTCGTTTTGTTTTACTTTGTTCGTCTTATATTTTTTTCTTGTGTTACCTTATATTTCTTTGCTTTCTTTTGAAAGCGTAAATGAACAAAAACTAAAACAGGAGTTAAATGTGTGTCAAGGAATGAGAGGAATGCCAGTAAGATAAGCAAATGCAATATACCAATAAGAAAAATGAACAAGATTTTGCTTTTGTTGTTCTTACAGTATACATTCTTGAAGTTGGTTAAGAGTAAAGTTCTGTGGCATACATTTTTTTTCTTTCTTTCCTTTTAAAGTATTTTGCCAATAAAATTTCCTTGTCAGATTACTGTAAATACTATTTAATCAGAAGGCTTGTTTCCATCAAAGTAGTTAAAATTTTTTCAACTCAACTGCACTTTTTGCAGAATGATCAAGTGCCAGCCTCAGGAGTATACGTTTATTCCTCGAACATGGATTTTCCCTGCAGAATACACACAGTTTCAGAACTATGTAAAAGAATTGAAGAAGAAACGTAGACAGAAAACTTTCATAGTAAAGCCAGCTAATGGTGCAATGGGACATGGGTAAGTTGCATGTTCATTTCAGTCTTCTTATCCAGAAAAAATGAAATCTAGTGCTATTTAAATTGTTAATTGAAGCTGTTTATCACTAAGAAGTTTGTTCATCAGTTGTATATCAATATAAAAACATCATCTATTGGAAAAATGCTTAACAGCAAGAAACAGCTAGAATATAAAAATAAATAGAAGTGGTATTTTCATGCTGTTCTGAATGTGGCTTAATTAGGAAATACATTTTCTGATAATGATCATGTAATTCTTAAGATCAAGGTTTTTTATTAATTGTGAAATTATCCAAGCAATAGATATATTGTAATCTATTGTGCTTTAACTTAGAGTGCGATCGTACTGAGCACAAATGTCAGGGTTTCAGTAGTTGTGAGGGTGTTTGTGTGGAAGACAATCAGTATCTTCCATAGCTCTGAAAACATTCCAAGTACCCTACTGCATGCCAAAAGTGTGACACAAAAGTATTTGAGAGCAGCATCCTCAAGGTGGAGGACAAATGGAGGAGGCACAGTTTTGGAAGGATGTGAGATATGCCAGAAGAGGGACAACCCTGAAAAGACTGTGACCTACAGCTGAGTTGAAACTGTTCTGCCTGTGTCAGGACAGAGAAAAATGAGATGAGATTAAATATCTCAATTAATTCTTAACTCTGTTCTTATTTTTACCTATTTCTATTTCAGATTTTATTGCTTTAATATCATCTTGGATTATACTGCATAGTATAGTGTTTTTCCTAAATTTTCGTTTCTCTTGATAAGGACAAAGATGAAAAGTAACAGGTATTTCGTGGAAAATATGGGAAAGAAAAATGGTGGAAACTTTAGAGAGTGCATTCTGCCAAATGATTTGTAAGTCTAGAGGGAATAAATTATTATACTTTTTATTTTTTTAATCGAAGTGCAACACTTGCACTTGGACCTTGTTGAACCTTATTTGGTTTACGTGGGCTGACTTCTTAAGCTTTTTCAGGTTCTTTTGGCTTCTGCTGTTTACAAAAGAAAAAATAACAAACCAAAGTAACCCAAAATAACCCAGGTACCAGCTACAAGGCAGGGAACTAAAAGCCGTCTAAGCAAACAACGATTTTTCTATACCCTACAAAACAACTCTGTAAGGTCTTTCTGCACACAGTATTTAGTCTGATTACCTGACTGAATGACAATAATAATGTATTTCTTTTGTCTAAGTCCTACATTTTAAGAATAACTTTTTTTTTTTTTTTTTTTTTTTTTTTTTTTTTAAACTAGGATCTCTTTAATAAGAAATGGAGAAAAGTTACAAGCTCAGGATCACTTGATTGTTCAGGAATATCTTGACAAACCATTTCTTATGGAAGGCTACAAGTTTGATTTGCGTGTATATATTCTTGTAACCTCCTGCGATCCATTAAAAGTATTTTTGTATCATGATGGACTGGTGAGAATGGGCACAGAAAAGTATCATCCTCCCAGTGACTCAAATTTGGTAAGTGGATGCTCATTCCACTTATTGCATATATATGTAGAATTTCATCTGTGTAATGTTTGGAGGAGAAATAATAAAATGGTGACAAAAATTTGCATTTAATATTCATGTGGCAGAATTTTTCAATTGTCACTGAAGAGAAACGAAGTATTTAACTAATTTCTATACTTGTGACATTCATACAGAATATATTGCTTATGTATAAAAAACACTCTTCTTACTCGTCCATAGGATAGAGCTTACATTTTTCCTGAAAGCAAGCAAAAGAAGTCGATTATTAACGTTCAGCCCAGAACAAATGAAGTAAAGAAAGTAATTCCAACAACAAGTTACACTGTTTTCATATTTCTCTGAGACTGAGTTCAGGGGATGCAGGGGGAGTTAGGCCTTATACCCTGTTAAATTGTTTTTAATGTCCCTGAAGTGTAGAGTTTCTCCTGAGGATCCTGCAAGGTTTCAGCCATTGTTTTAGGAACCTATTCAGGAAACAGAAAAAAAACAACAACAAACAACCAGAGATGTGCAGACCATGGCATGAGAGAGGGCACTAAAATCTCTGAACATCAGGGAATTTGTTGACTTTTATAAGTGACTGCTTCTTCTGCAGGGAAAGAAGCATGGAATTATATCACCCATTTAATGTTTACCCAATATACTTGTTAATTTTAGGATGATGCAGCAAAGCTGCCTATAAGCTTGCAGAGAACCAAGAAAATGGTAAAGGACATGCTAAAAGATGCTTTAATCCTGTGCTGTTGAGAGGTGCAACCCTTCTCTTCTGGCACAGACTTAAGTACAGATGGCAATAAAGAAAAGACTTGGATTTGATGCATCGAGGCATCAGTGGATTTAAATTTGTTGTACGTCACTCTGTACTCCACTGCTTCTTTATCTTTCCTTTTCCAGAGTGATATATTTTTAGAACTGCTTCAGTGTAATTATACAATAGAAAATGTATGGTGAGCCATTAACTCTACTTGTCACTTAAAATAGTGTTCTTTTGAAGATTGCAGGTACAATCTGAATCCCAGGAGAAATGGTGCATTTGGAAAAGTTCCAGTACTATATTTGGAACAGCTTGCTTTTAGTGGTTTTTATTGTTACTAATCTCAGTGTTATCAGCACTGAAATATGCTCTGAGTTGATAAACAAGCAGCAGAACAAGCACTTTTCTCTGTGATCTTGCAACTGTTCATGTCTGTCTTTGTATGAAATAACCTGGCTTGTCGCTAATGACATTGTTCCATAGTGACACTGTTCCAGATGAATTCAGACTAAAGATTAGTTTATGTGTTTAACTCACGTTCTAAAAACACTTTCAGGGTAGGTTTTTGTTTTTTTGTTTTAATCTGGAAAATAATTAAATTTTCTGAAATAATTTAATTATGTGGAAAGAATACTCAAAACAATAATAGGCTTCAGAATCATTCTCAAAGCCATAATTGGAAGCCGTGTGAGAAATTCATTGCTTGTAGTGCTACTGTTAACTAGCCTGCAACTAAATTATGTGTTGTTTTTTTTTTTTTTAATTTTATTCATTTTTCTTAAATGTACGTGTAGTGAGATAAATGACAGCAGAAGGTTTGTGTTGTCTATTGTCTGTCTGATCAAAAAGGAATTGGAACAGAAAGCTTATGGCAAGCTTATAACATAAACTATCACTCAAACAAGAAATGAAATATAGCAGACAACAGTCTCTGTGGACTGTCATCATGATAGTGTATGTGGAAAGCTGAGTTAATACTTGTAGTGGATATATATATAAATATATAAATAATGATTTATAAATTGAAATTTAAAGGCTTTGTTTCTTTTTAATGTAGCATGAATCAATTGCTGTTTATATTTTCTTACATAAGGAAACACTCCTTTATGTAATGTATAGTTTGAAATTTATCTCCCTCTAATGTATGGCTACCAGCCACTCAAAAATGAGCAGTTCTGGCAGATAGCAACATGACAGATGAATTTATATATAGGAGATATTTTAAAGTATTGCTATAATGAGAATGTCTTTCATAAATAAACTACAGTGAAAACTGAAATGTGGGATTGTCTATGAAACAGATGTCAGAGTGTTTTTTAGCACTTCAAAGTACCATCTTTGTTGTTTGCTTCTCGTGCAATGTAATTTTTCTGTAAGTTATGATAGTAGCTTTCCACATTTCTATGGAGTTTTTTACATGCACACCTGTAAAAATGGCAGGTATATTATCTAACCAGATGTTGATTAGATGTTGATCTACTGCTATTGCAACTGGCTTAAATATGAGCCCAGGTTATACAACAAGGCTACAACATTCAGTATGTGAAATCTCCAAGAACCAGAAACACTAAACCTGCACATTATGTATTTGCAAATATGAACTGTGTCATTACTGATCTAACCTTTTCTTCTAATTTTTTATAATTGGTCATTCTAGAATAACATTTACATTTTCTTTTTTCTTTTCTCCGTATTTTTAGAGCCAACTGTACATGCATCTGACCAACTACTCTGTGAATAAACATAATGAACACTTCGAACGGGATGAAACAGAAGACAAAGGAAGTAAACGCTCTATCAAATGGTTTACTGAGTTTCTTGAAACAAATAATCTTGATGTCTCCAAATTCTGGAATGATATTTCAGTAAGATGGAACTAATGTACTTTTCTATGTTTTTCCTTAAGGATCACTCTTAGAAAATTTATTGCTTCTGCCATTGCTTTACTCAGAATCCATCATGACTTTTGAAACATTATTAACTATAACTCTAGACAGATACACAATGACATGCCATAAATGAAGATTAAAATGGCTAAGCTCAAGAATTTGGTTATAAAGTTAATGTTGAACTTCTTCAGTCCTTCCAAACAGTTATTCATGTAAATAGTATCATGCACACAGACAGTTGTATTTCAATTCTCAAATGTGCTTTTGTAGCATATTAATCAAATTTTATGTGAGAATATTTACAAAACTGTATTCAGCATTGCATATATCAGCAGATTGGAACCTGCACCATCCAGATCAGTGGATGTGTTACAGACATCTTTAGGTGAGGAATTTGACTGGGATCGTTACAGCTTAGGCACTGTCTGTAAATATGATTCTGAGAATATTTACTGGAAGCTATGTCATGAAATGAAATAAGGTTGGCTGTGCTAAGCCTTAACCTCAATGTAACTTAAGCATTTAGACTACTGTCTATCTTAAAAAGAACTACGGAAAAAGTACTATGGAAAGTATAGTAATGTTTTTTATAGCTATCAAAAGCATCTGTTATTCAGTATGAACATTTATTTGGTATTAAAAATCTTCTACATTCTACTAAAGTATCTATAAAAGAATGAAATATGTAAGTTTGCTAAATCGTGTCATCTTTCCTGATACATTTTTTCTGAAAAAAAATCCCTACAGGAGTTAGTAGTGAAGACTCTCATAGTTGCAGAGCCACACGTTCTTCATGCTTATCGCATGTGCAGGCCAGGGCAAGCGCCAGGAAGTGACAGCGTCTGCTTTGAAGTCCTGGGATTTGATATTCTGCTGGACAGAAAACTAAAACCATGGCTTCTAGAGGTAAATTCCTTTAAACAAATGTAAAATAAATTTTTAAGAGTAAACTTAACCAAGCCCCAGCTGAACTCATGTCTATGTAAGAAAACTTCCAAAGAAAATCTGTGCCTAGCAGAATGTACTGTTGTTGAGTAAATAGATGATGCTTTTTTTTTCCTGCAACAGTTGTATGGGAACACTGCTTTGCATTGATTTTGGAGACTCACATAAGGTTGTTTTCCTGGAGAAATGTTGCATTTTAAATGTTTCTGGAACTTTTAATGAGAAATGGGCTGTTAATGCAATTGTTCCAGCTGCACTGTAGCTGAAGTTGATAGAAATTGAGTACTGCATAGATTTCCTTTGTGAGGATGGTCCTGGTAATTTTATGACTGATCCAAAAACTGTCAACAGTTGTGCTTATTTCTCTTAGAGTTGCAGTATAATTTTAGTTAGAAAAATATAAATTAGTTCACTATCTACCATACAGTTACAGGCATACTCAATGGCTTTGATGTGCTGGCTAAAATCAATGAACTTCGTCTGTACTACATATACTTTTCTTTTTGTCCAGCAATCCCTTTGATTTACGTCTGCACTTTCCAGATTACCATCTATAGAATGCCTGTAGTTTGCACACAGGTTCTTTGAATGACTGAAGTTGCTCTGTGTAGGCATTTCATCTAACTTCATAGCAAATCTCTCTTCTAAGAGAGATGATGAATCAAACTCTTTGGTGAATCCATTATGAAGGACGCTCCTCTATCTCCTTGGATGTTTACATGAAATATCAAAATCTGGGGGTTTCTGATTTACTATTTATGCTGTAGGGCAGTCTCAGAGGAGAACCCCTGGATTCCTTGTTTGTGAGGGAGGAACCTGGCAAAATAATAAGTACTGCTTTTGGATTTTGGATTGCTGCAGAATACTTCAGGGCTTGAAAAGTTGTGTACTTGGTTGTTATTATCTTTTTAATATAGAAGGTTAATGATCTCCTCTTCTCTTTTTGATAATCCAGATATCCTTTAACTTATTTTGCTAATGTTGATCTAAGCTAAGAGAAATTTCAAACTGCAGAATGTAATCAGTTTCTGCACTCATACACAGATTTTCATGGTCTCTGCTTGTCTTTTTTGTAGCACTCTCAGAGCAAACACACAGGGTGTGTATATGTGTGTGTAAAAGTACACACATGTAACATATTTGCCATATATATACACACCATGTGTGGTATAATACTGAACAAGCATACATTGCATATATGTGTACTAGACATAATAATGTATACCCAGTGTGTACGCACGTGATGTAAAATAATAATGCACAAGATACACAATGTACAAAAATATAGGTATTTATATAGAGTATTTTTTTCTCAGGCTTCTCCAGCCTTCCACTCTTCTCTCGTTCCACCATTTCCCCGTTTCCGAAGCTCCCCAGGGCTGTGCTCTCCCTAGCAGTGGGAACAAGCACTAATGGCAAGGCTCTGCATGTTCCCAGCGCTGTGGGAAAACTGCCAAGACCAGATCAGGACGGCCAATCTAGTTCTTGCTTTCCACAGCTCGCAGAGCCGTTCTGTTGTAAAGTTAGCTTAATAAACTATCATAGGAAATAAACTGCGCGGCGCTGCAATGACAGCTTTCCTGAGATGACTTGTCTTTATATTCGCCGTTATCCCCGTACCGCTCCCGCCCCGGGATGCTGCCGAACTTCCGGAACCTTCCACAGCGCTGAGCGCAGGGAAACGCACCGCTGCCACCTGGTGGCGCCGGGCGGCCCTGAGCGGCGCTGCGCCGCGCCCGCGGCTGGCATCCCTCGGGCCAGCTGTTCCACGTCATTTCCAGTTTTACCATAACTTTGTGTTTTACATTTCACAGATTCTGTTCTGTACTCCTTTTTTTAATCTCTAAACCTAGTTTTATCTAGTCCACAGGGTTTCATTGTGAACATTACTTGGCTCGTTGCATTTAACTGATGCTTGAATTATTTTTCAGAAAGTTGCTGCATAAGTATAATCTTTTGCTTGAGATCAAGCTCTTCATCTCAGTCAGCAGCATAGTTTGTAACCAGTAACAGCATCTCATCTGATGCAGTAGGGTTTTTATGGGCTACAGATTTCTTTTTTTCTTTAAAAATGCTGTTCTGAGAGTCACTGTCTTAATGGAGAATTTCATCCTTTCCAAAACATGCTGTCCTACAGGTTGAGTGGAGATAAAATATCTGTTACTCAAAAGATGTTGTATTTTTTCCCACTGATTTCAGGTTTATTGAACTCATTATGTAATCTCGTTATTGAGCAGTGGAATATTTCTATTCCTACTGTGTATTACTAGAGATGGGAATGCGCTTGATTGCTTCCATAAGGAGGTGAAATGCCAGACTAAAATTTTTCCCAGGTATTGATGAAGATGACAGGGGAGTTAGTATGTTAGGCATTTGCAAAGCTTCATTTTTTAAAAATCAGTATGTTTTGCAAATGTAGCTGGAGGTGGGAGCCTTACATGCTTCAGCTTACACTGCTTAATTTAACTATTACAGGTATGAAGTCCTTTGCTGACAAGTGTTTAGTTGTGAAATATGCTGAGCTCCTCAACTGCTATGCTCACAAGTAGTTTGATTAAGTGTCTGCGCTGTATTTCAGTGAAAGCAAAAGTTGAAGATTTTGGTTGGGGAAATTAAAAACTTGTGGAGAGTTTAATTCTACTACTAATACTACTGAAAGATAGTTAAAACTGTGACATTATGAAAATGTGTGAGAAATGTTGTGTTCAATAGTCTATACCAAAAATACTATAGTTATAACGCAAGTGTGTTTTTTTCTCTTTTTTTTCTTTGTTCCCTTGTGTATTCTTATATGCATCAGACTTTTGAAGTTTTGATGATAGTTTATCCAATAAATATAGCATAAACCTAACGCATGACACTGAATAGGAATATCTTGTTTCTGAACATGCTTCAGTATAAAAATATAGCCTTAGATACTTATTTCTTCTGACATTTAACCTGTATTGAAGTTGAATAAAGTATTCAGATTCTAGTCACTAGGTATGCATGCTTCTGTGTCCCTCTGGCAGAGCCCAGCAGAAATCATTTGATCTTAGAAATGTCTCATCTTCCATCTACACTGGGTGATAAGCAGGCTTTATACTTAAGGTCAGCTGTCAAGACTGCCTTCTGAAGTTTCCTGATGTGAGAAAGGAGAGATAGTGAACAGGTGGAGAAATTTAAAAGAAAGGTTTGTTAATGCAGCATCCTTGCATGTAGTTGTACCAAATCAAAAGGCAGTTCAAACATCCATACATGCAGTGAGCACGGAATAGCCAGTTGACTTTAAATTCACAGCTGCTTTCTCTGTATTAACTTTCTAATGTACTCAGTTGCTTGGATTTTGTGTTGGATCTACTGCTACATGAAACGCTGCACTAAGACAAGTTTGCAGCAGCCATCCAGAACTGGATCACTGTTTTCACTGTCTGCCTAGTTGCTCCTCAGGACTGAGGTTACGTTAGGGTCAGAATTTCAATCTTTAGTCATGAATTGTGTATCAAAAAACAAACACCAACAGTCCTCTGCAAGTCACAGAGTAGAGCTCCAGTTCTAACTATGAGTACAGTAGCATTTCAGCTTCTTAAGTGTCTGCCTTAAGTGGGGTGATAGTGTAATGTTTCCCAGTAGCATTTGGTTTCAGAACAGCATTTTAAATTCCTTCTTACATCTTTCCTACCCCTACCTTAGTTTTCTGCTTATTAAGCACAGTCAATGTGGTTTTGTTCAGAATAGCTTATTTTTGGCAACATTCACTCTGTAGGAGAGAGACTATAAATTATTTTATACTTTTCAGGGTGTAATTCAGAGTATACTTCTAAGAGTAAATTTTTAGCACTTACAGACCTACCTAGTTCAGGTCTGTGTATGTGTGCATCTGGCAGTCCTGTGAGTTCAATATTGGACTAATGTAGCATTTTACGTTTCAAATAATTTCTTGTATTTAACTGCATTCTAACTGAATTTAAGGATTCACTGTGCTGATTCTAGTAAAATGCTAGAAATTAACTGATTGGAAGTTTTAACGTTATATTTGTCCGCTTACTTGTTTTTGATGCATGAACAAAGCATTTCAAAGCCAAATATTGTTAGTTGCTGTATGTTACTATGGAGTCAAAAATTCAGTACAGAATATCATATTGTACAATATCTAACGTTTCTTCTGAATAAGAAGCTGGGGCTTGATTTTTACATTTCTGATTCATTTCAGTGAGCTATTTGTGTATTTAGGTATTTGTTGGACTGAACCATAGTACTCTATGTTGTGTTTCACTTCTCATTTGCATGTGATACAAGACATTAGTTTTCACTTCTGAATCTGTTAGTCTGTCCCTTCCCTCACCAGCACTGCCCATTCACAATCAGCACGATTCCACCCTCTTACTAGCACCTATTGCTCATGTATAGCCCTTTATACAAGCCTGAAAGGTGTTCCTTGAGACATTTATGCATTTACTTTATTCTCCCTCAAAGCTTTCCTGAAAGCTTTTCTGCAGGGGCTCTAGAGCTTGGCAGTGGTTAGATGATGCCTGGTGAAGTCTCCTCGTTTCATTTCCTTTCTTCCTCTATGTTTATATTAACATTTATGATGTCTTGCTCTGCACTTAGATTTTAAGTAACTCATTCTGTTATTTATTTATGTTTTCATACCACATGCTGATTTCTGTTTTTACAACTTGTTACTTTTCAGAGTAGAACTGTATTCCAGACTAGGAACAAGGAAAAAGTTTCCTGTGCTGGACTCCTGTAGCACAGCACATAGTTATAATGTGCTTAACAGCACTTGCTGTGGTAGATTTCAAGCCACAGCAACCAAGAATGCATTAAACTGGATTTAAATTGCCAGTACTTGAATCAGGTTCATCCTGAGTGTCTGGATAAGTTGATGTCTGAGAGGTACATCTCCTGGCTCCTGATTTCTGTGATGATGCTTGATTCTCTAATTATTTAAGAAATACAATCTCAGATGAGCGTTTCAACGTGTTCTCTTATTCTCTGTGATATCTGAAAGAATGTCTTTTCCTGTTACAACAGATAAGTTCCTAATGAAGTTGAGCATTCCTTTTTTTTTTTTTTTTCTTTTCCTTATTTTTTCTTTTTCCAGATTAACCGAGCCCCAAGCTTTGGAACTGACCAAAAAATAGACTATGATGTAAAAAAGGGTGTTCTGCTAAATGCATTAAAGCTTCTCAACATAAGGTAATCTTGTCTTCTTCACTTTGGCTCTCTTTTTTTTTTTTTTTTTTTAATTGGACTAGTAGAGTGTGACATTTCTTTCCCTGTTTAAATTCTAAAAACTTAAACAGTTCTCTTGCTGTGAGTTTTGCTATTAAAAGCTCAAATTTAATTTTTAAACCTGTTCAAGTGCTTGCCAGAAATGAAGTGGTAATAGTCATTTTCATGCCTTTTAGATGCTTTTTCAAACAGATCTCATAGTGGGAATATTAGTGTAGTCATAGCAAGTTTGCTCTGACAATAGTTTCATGCAGAGTCATAAGGCATACCCCTGTGTAAGAAAGCCTGCTTGTTGGAATTTGTTGAAGAAAATCTAAACTTCAGGAAAATAGCTGCTACCATATTTCTGCATTAAATTTCAACAGTGTCATTATAGCACACCTTAATGTGTGAAGATTGGCAGCCATAAAAGTTAATATTAAAAAAAAATTCTTAGTGTTTGACTACTCATTTGTGTATCACTAACCATACAAGAACAACTGAAAGCTGCAGATGGTTTACTTGAAATGAAAGTGCATTTCAACTCAGCTGCATTATGTCAATAACCAATGCTTGATAAGGCAGTAAATCTTGATGCTCTGATTTGAGTTCTGAAAAATAATGCCTGAACTCTTCTTACTGCTACTTAGCTATCAAAACCTGCATGGGGGCTTATTTAAGTGAATGTGCTAGATATATTCTGCAATGTATTTTGCTATAGATGGTCTTTAATGTTCTCTGTAGAGAGAATAAACGTTTTTCTAGTTCTTTTTGAAGTATTCTTTGTGGATTGATGTACCTTAATGTTCCTTGTGATTCAGAACAAGTGATAAAAGGAGAAATTTAGCCCAACAGAAAGCTGAAGCTCAAAAGAGACTGTATGGTCAAGGCTCAGTGAAAAAACTGTTGCCAGGTTCTTCAGACTGGGAAAAGCAACGCCACTCACTGGAACGGAGAAAAGAAGAACTGGTAGGAAAGAAAAATGCTGTTTCTTGCCCATGATTTACGTTATCTTTGTTTTAATTGTCTTACTTTCTTGATTTATAGAAGGAAAGACTTGCACAAGTACGCAAACAGATTTCCAAAGAAGAGCATGAAAATAGGCACATGGGGAACTACAGGTAACCATGTGAGCTATATCAATCAGAAGATTTAATGCATTCATTGTTGGGAATAAAGGGAATAAACATTTGTGGCAGATGATAATGTTATGACAAAGATGCATTGATAGAAAACACAGATTAGACCAGGTGATTTATTTATTTATTTATTTTTGAGGTCTTTCTCTGGTTCTGTATTTTTGCATGCATTTACTTTATATTGCATCAATCACTCCAGTGTTTGTGCAAAACATTTGCTCCAAAGATGTGATTGTTCAGTGTACCGAGTGTACCAAGAAGCGTGATTTTCATTTTGGACTTCTTCTGTAATCACAAATGGCAATTCTTTTCTCTGGGGTGGGATAGGATCAGGATGTTAATATGCCTGCATTACTCTACAGAGAATGAACTATCAAATCTGAACGTTCTCTATGATGCTTCAGAAGCCTTGTTTGTGCTTCTATCGCATTAATATTTCTCTTGGTTGTAATTGGATTTGGCCAGAAAATAAGCATTTATTTTACAATGTTTTTATTATTTCTTGACATTAGCTTCTATGAGAAGTGAATGCAAGGCAATGAATATTTGGTGAAAAGGAGCAGAGCACCACTGAGAAGAGATGATGGGAACATTCACCCAATCTTTGTAAAATTCATCTGGGATGTAAGAGGTCTGGGTTCAAATCTTTCATTCTGAATTAGTCAGAATGCATTTACTGCTGTTCTTCATCTCTGCTTTTTGAGCAGATGCTCTATACCAACCCAGTAAAGTTCTTATTTAAACACACACAATTCTCTTTTTTTTTTTTTTTTTGACAAATTGTCTTTGCTTACAAAAAAAATTACATCTTTGTAATGTTCCCAGCTTTAATTATGTCTTTTCTTGATACATGTAAAGATGAGCTAGTACATAAAAAAAAAAACAACACAATGAAAGAGTTCTTTTCTTATTAATTGAATGAGAAGGAGAAACATCATAATGCTTTTAATACATTTTGCTTTATTGATAACTTTAACTTTTTAACTGGTCCCATTTCAGGTTGCTCATCCAGCTCTGGACTGAAAATGAGGCAAATCTTCTCTTTATTAAGCTTTTTGGTTAATCTAAAACAATAAAAATGCAAATATTTTTATTTTTTCTTACGAAAAAGTAAAGTGGCATTTCGTGACAAATGTGCACATGTAAAAGGGCTGAACAGCAGTGTGTTTTCATAATATCATGTGTTCACAAAAAGGCTGGAGAGTCAGCAGAGCCTGAGAAGTAATCTTGGCTAGAGATTCAGACAGGTGTTATCTAAGCAGTATTTTCTCTTTGCGATGTCCTTCTTGCAGAGCAGGACTAGTTCCTCTCAGGCACTGCCATAGAATCATAGAAATTTTGCATGCTAGCTTTGCTGTGTGAATTCATATTGTTTCCAGAATGAAAATCTACAGAAATCTTTATGTCCAGACAACTTTTGAATCCTAATCCTATGAACAGTGTATTTTTTCCCATTAACCTCAGATTTTGATAAAGACACTGTGCTTGTGAATGTCAGTTCAGGAAGCAGCGTAGTCAAGTGTCCACCTGCAAATACAACTAGCCTGTCACTTTCATTAGGATCTTGCGGTGTTTCAAAGCAGGAGCTGTGCTTTCAAGCACTTGTGGAAAGAATGTGTATGTCTTTGAAATGGTCTTTGACTACAGTGTATTTCCATATATGTTAGGGTAAATACCTTTTTTACTTTAAAGAATGAGGGCTGCTCTGAAAGTAATGCCTCCCATTTTATGTTGACCCATGAAATCAGAGGTGGATGTTGGTGAGGTGGCAGTAGAGGTTGAACCTTCCTACCAGTATCCCATTACAGTTTGTTGCCGTATGACAGATGGCAGCAGAGAAGAAGTCTGACAAATTGGTGTCTGACATGAAAGGGCAAATGAAGCAAAGGGGTGCCACTGAATTCCTCCATGTGGAAAAAGTGGCACCCACTGGCATCCATTAGTGCCTGCTGAACATTTATGGGGACCAAACAGAGGATTTGAGCACTGAGATGGTGGGTGATGTGTTTCAGCGGTGGTGATAGTGACAGTAATTCACCTCTGCTGGTGCAGGTTGTTACCAAAGTGGAATGCAGACTGTTGCTTATTGCTGGTGAAAATGCATGGCTAATGTTGATGATTGTGTTGAAAATTAGTGTTCTGTAGCTAAGGTTTTTCTCTTTCAAAGAGTGGTGTTGTGGTCTTCGTATCTGATGTAGTTTCCATGGAAATACATAGGAGGCATTACTTTTGGAGAGACATACATAATTGTTCTATGCTACATTTTCAGCAGTGGAACCAACACCATAAAAAATGATGACTACACCTGGGTTAGAGTTTGTATAGGTATTTTATGGAAACTGAACCACCTTACAGTTGAGTCTAATGAGACTGTTCTTTTGCCACTGCTACGAAATCGTAACATAAAATCTTTCCAATGAGAAGTTTGTAAAGCAAAAGGAGAGAAAGCACTGTAAGAATTCCACAAAAAATAATCCAAAACATACCAGACATGTATTGCCAATTAATTTATAAATAGTGCTTATGCTTTGCACAGTGCAGGCAGAATTAATTTGAGTTATTCATTACAGTATGTTGTAAGTTAGTATCCCATCTCCATCATTCAAGTGCAGCACATATTCAATCTTTATGTTATGTCCATTAACTCAAAGAATTGCTCAGATTTTCACTGTTTTTTATACTTTGTTGCTAATACAAATTATTTCGTTGCACTGAATTTTACATGCAATACTTTATCAATACTTCATTTACACTTGGATGTATTCAGACTGATTGAAATTTCAGAGAGTATTGCAAAGCTGTGCTCCTATATATCTCTGGAATGGCTTGCATGGGATTTTTTTGGCTGGCTAATTATGTTTAAACATGTAAGTGTTCACTAAGCTAAAATTAGATTTGGAGAGCATTGCTAGGAGCATATGTCTCATGATATGGCATTGCATAATAATTACAGATGGGATACATATGCATTACCATGAACTAGCTGCATGACTTTTGTTCCTAGTCTGATAAGTAGCTCAGAAGATACTATGCTTATCAGTAGAAGATGCTATTTAATTTTTTTCCCCCTGTTTCAGGCGAATTTACCCTCCTGATGATAAATCATTACTTGAAAAGTATGAGAGTTTGTTAGCCACTGCTTTCCAGACATTTCTTGCTGGGAGAGCTGCTTCACTTCAGCGGGAAATGAATAACCCATTAAAAAGAATGAAGGTACTGATGCATAGAAGTCTTGTCTTGAAGTCATTTTTCTTGGAATTCACATCCTTGCAGATTACTTTCATGATAATGATGTGTGATGGGTAATAAATAACATTTGATAACATTTTCATCATACTTTGTATTGCTTGTGGGCTAGAATCTTGAATTTGGATGAACTGCAGTGGGCCCAGAGTGGAGACAGGCTCACTGACTTCCATTTCCCCAATCCTCGGCCTTATACTTGGCAGAAACTGCTTATGAGCTGGTCATTACCTCCTTCTTCCTCCAGTAATGTCTCCAACCCATTGTGCACTTCTACAGACTAGAATAACTGATATCATAAAACACACACAGCTCCACTATTTCAAGGCATCCCCAAACTCGGCTTCATTGTTTACTTACACAGTCAGAGATGAAGAATAGGAGAATCCTATTCTGGAGTATTCATTGTCTTATTTCAGGAACAGGTTATCAAAGTGACTTCAAAGTCTGATCAGTTGGCACTTGAACTTTGGAAGAATAGGACATGCCATCTTTTGGATTAATCATAGTGAAATTCCTATTTCTAGGAGGAGGACATTTTGGATCTTCTGGAGCAGTGTGAAATAGATGATGAAAAACTAATGGGAAAATGCACAAGACAGCGAGGACCTAAGGTATTTGAGTTTTAGATAGCATTTTTCTATTCCTCTCTGGTAGAGTGGTCTGAGGATTTAATCAGGGAATTTAGTTAGCTGATCCTGGTGGATGCTTTCTTCCTCATGCTCCCATTAGCCTGTGTGTTTTGCTTAAAAAATGAAATGAAAAATGGAAAATTTTAACTCTATGGTATTCTTTTTCTCTCTAAGCTGTTTTGAGGAATTGCTGGGTATGGCAACAACTGTTCTACAAGAGACTACTTGATTTCAGTGTGTGAAATGATCTTTTATATCCACAAATTATCTCAAAAGAATGCTTTGATTTTAGTCAATTAGTGCCACTGAGGATTTTTGAGATCATGGGATAAGAGGCACTATGGAAGCTCAAAGGATTATTTATGATCATGATGTATCTGCAGCTTGCTTACTTGCTAAAAACATCATACGATGTATCTTGGAGCCAAAATCTGAATTTAAAGTGAATCTATGTTATTTTTAGCTTAACGCATTCTGGTTGTGCACACAGTTCAATTGAACCTTTGCCTTGAACACACTCTGTATCTCTGCAAACTGGTAAAGATCCTTAAAAGTCTTGCCTTCCCTAAATCTTTAGTGCTCAGGAAATCACACTTTGCCTTGGGCACACTCCCTTCTTTGAAGAAACAGTAGGGAATCTAAACAGCTGGAACAATAAGGAGGGAGAAAAACATTTTTCCCTCATTTTCCTCCATGTCCATACATAAAACTGAGGGATACAAGGTGTGCAGTTGTATAAATAAGCTTTGCATGTAAAAACAAAACATATTTGCTAAAAATTTCAGCCTCTCTCTCTTTCTTTTTTTTTTTTTTTTTTTTTTTTTTTTAATTTGAATGCAGTTGGGAGCTCATGTTAGAAAACAAGCTGAGAGTTTCCAGAGCAAAGACAATTTTGTCTGCAATTAAAAACGTTATTGAATTTTGCATGGCTTGAGAAATATTTTCTGAAAATGTCTTTTTAGTTTCTGGCCTCTAGAGGGCACCTTAGACTTGCATACTGGAAGGTTTACACTGCTGTGTTTATTACACCGCACCTACTGCATGCAAAAAAGATCGAAGGAAATAAAATAAATGTATATACTTTAGAGGAAATTTTGTTATAATTCTTCTGTTATAGAATCAAATGAGTTCAATCAAGCAAAATGAGGGAAAATCAAGCTGATTAGAATTGCTGAGCAATTTACTATAAATAAAATTGTGACTTTGAACCCAGATCTGGATTTTATTTGCTATTATTTCTTTTTGTAATTTCTTTGACCTTTCTTCTTATTCTTGTTCAATTGATCTGAAGTCTTGTTCAGGCTGTTCTTATTATTTTTAAGTATAGAAAGTGTTAGGAATATGCATATGGTAACTGGAAATAAGATCTCCTTTAAAATCCATGATTTTTGATTGGAAATGTTTATTATTATTTCTTGTATAACATCAAGAATGTTTAATAAGTATCTTTCCATGATACATATTATTTCATTATTAGGATAGCTATTTCTGAGAAATCACTAAGTGTTGAGACACCTTAATTTGTCCTTTTGGCTGGTAGGTAGACATCATAATATTCCTTGTTGTGTAGTCTGAACAATTGTCAGGGCTTTCCCCTGTGGGATATACCACTTTATTCTGAATATTTCTTTAACTTTTCCTTTTCTGGCCAGACAGCTTGAGTCTGCATAAACATACTATCACTTCCTTGTCTGGAGTAGAAGTTTAGGTAGCTTGTGTTTAGCTATTAAATATTGTCCTTCATAGTTTATATTTGTGCATTACATTATATTAAAACTTAAATGAATCCTGTGAACTTTTCTATTTCATGCTGATCCAAAGCGTGTTTGGAAATTGCAATATTTTTTAATGTGAGACAAAATTGCTGTCCATTAGACAACTAGGAAGATGAAGCCATCACTTACTATAGATGGGAGTTAATGGACAGAAAGCAAGTAGGGGGGAAAAAAGGGACCACATGAGACTTCTTAGGTTGATAGATATAATGGAGGACATTGCACTGCTGTTGACTGCACCATGACTGCTGTAAGAAGGAAAATTTTCTGCTGTTACCTCCATTCTTGCAACACTGTCTCCTACTTTTTGCTCTTTATCTCACATTAGCCTTGGTAATAGCATGTGCTTAATTACTTAATGACACTGAATCCCATGTACATATGGGATTCCAAAGATGCCTAACATAGCCTGCTGTATCCTTCCAGATCCTGCTTTCTATAGGATGCTCCTTCAGAAGCATACCAGCTGAAGTTCCCTTGTGTACCTCATTACTTCAGAGTGATTATTGTTAAAACATTTCTTCACTTTCTGCAAATACTAGTTAAGGATTGCAACTGATTGTAAATAATATTCTGTATCATTTGACTGGTGATTTTAAACTTTAATCCAATATGTTGGGTAGTATAAATTGTACTTGAAATAAAATGACATTTTCACCTTACTGTATTATGCTGCTATTTGTGTGAGAATGTTTGGGATTATTGTCATTAGTTTAATGAGCTACTTAAACTTTTATTTTAAAATTATGGAAAATCTTCCAGTCAAATTTGGGAGAGTTTAAGTATGTACAAATGAACCTCCATAGCTCACAAATCTAGTAAAATGTTCTTCTGTTTTTTTCGGATTATGAAGAAAATTAATTTTATTGCTTCTTTTTTTGTGTGTGTGTGTTGTTTTGTTTTGCTTCAGCCTTTGTGTTCTATGCCAGAAATTGCACAACCCTTAAGAAAATTTAAGAACTACAGTAGTGATAGCAGCTGTGATAATGGCAGCAGTATGTCAGGGTCAGAAGATGAAACTGAAAAGGAAGACCACAATGAGAAAAAAGAGAAAAAAGTATCATATGATCTTGAAGAAAATAAGTATAAACCTTCAGAACGATCAGGTAAGTGAAATTATCATGCTTCTAGCTAAGTCTGGCATACATGAGAAATTATATAAAATGCTTCACTTATTTCAGAATATATTAGCATTCGTAACTCAGGGTTAAATATGTTGGTTTTTTTCAGTTCATCTTTAAAATCTTTTCTAAATTAATGAAAATTTTTTATTTTAAAAAGGATTTTTTTTACAAAATTGCTATAGGGAAACATACACCTGAGTTACACTTGGAAATGTTGTAAATGCTTCTCTTTGCTCTTTTATTACTTTGAGAAAAGTTTCATCGCGTTATTACACAAGTATTTCTAAAATTTTATTTTTAATGTTAGCATTCTTTATTTAGACTGAATTAAAAAGCTTTACAATTATGTAAGAGCAGATGGGGGAAGATGGGCCTGGGAAGATATGCTCCAGCAACCAAACTCTTTCTTCCATATTATTTCATTCAGGAAGCCTAATGTAGCAGCCCCACACAATTTTTAGCCTATAGAGAAATATGTGCTCTGTATTAAATCTGATGCATGTTATAGAGGACTGAGTCTACCTGATTAAAGGTGACTAGGAAGAAGAAATAAATGTTCTAATAGAATATGTAATAAAAAATATACTGGGGGATCTGACATGAATGACTACTATGTATAAGGTATGTGACACTTTAATGGATGTACACACCTGTTAGTTGTATGTTAGTTACTGATGGAAAAATGGGTCTGAAATGATGCAACTACTTGTTAAACTTTTAATTTGTCTGCAGGTAGAATGAACTGGAAACCTTCGATTAAAAATACAAAATCTCCATCACATTCATCCTCATCATCATCTACAGGTCCAATAAGGCGTTCAGTAAGCTGCCCTCGTTCAATATCAATATTGTCTATGCAGTCACACGCAGCTGAGCATCGTCCCTTCTCTGCCAAAGCACCTCTGCAAATCCAGCGTGCATCCTCAGTGAATAGGTCTCGTTCTTTAAATTGCAGCCCATCTTCATCCAGAGTCTGTCAGACATCCAGCTTGGGAACTATGAACTCTTCAGGGGTGAGATAACATTCAAAAATGTTTAATTTCTCTGAAGTTCAATGAATACGTTACTAATTTTTACAATGTCAAAAATCGTGATGCATTATCATCAATTAAATTCTATTTTGAGAGATACTCAGGAATATAAGATATCTAGAAAGACAGGTCTAGACACATATTTCCTTTTGAAGCCTGTCCCTGAGTTAGGCAAACAAAACATTTACTCAGGTGGTCCAGCTAAATCGTGAATAGAAAAAGAAAAAAAAATAGATCAAAGAATTTTAACTGTTTAGAATTTGTGTAGCTGTAAGATAACAGTGTATTTCTGAAACATTTTTATTTTTTATTTTTTTAATTTTTGTGTTTCAATTCATACTTTATTGCATGACCTGTACATTTCATCACCCAAACAACTTATCTGGAGATGGGGCAGTAGAGATTGGCATTTGTTACCCACACTTGCAGCCTTTCTTTCCTGTGGTGTGCTTTGATTGTCAGAAATCCTTTTGTAATGCTAATTAAGTTGCTTCACAGTATTTACTATCTCTAGTAAAGATGCATCCAACAGAATGCACGTTTTCTGTTTTGCCTGTGAGGCTTTGTCTAAATGATGAAAAAGGATCCTTTTAAAATTGTGTGCTGACACCTTGTGAAATACTCCTTAGTGTGGTTTTCTATCTTTTAAAGTCAGCTAATAGAATTGGGAAGACATTAAGATTGTGTCTTCACCACAACGTGTTAAAGGTGTTGTTTTATCACATTAGCTATCTCAAGTTTAAAATGTACCCTTTTATCATCAAGATGTATTCTAAGAGCTAAATGAGACAGGGCTGATATAGATTTTTTTACTCACATTAACTCTATATCAAATACAAATTACTGAAAGATTAAAACCAGTCTCTTGCTGAATGATGTAAAAAATGGTCTAATCTCTTAACATGGGCAAGAAACTATACTTATTTTTCATTGAGAAAGCTCTAGCATGGAAATGATCTTGGTATGCAGATCAATCATGTGAGGTAATAGAGCTTAAGTCGTGTTTCTTAAAATAATGTGAATAAAATAACTTAGAAAATGGATAAGAACTACAGGTAATTTAGCACTATATTGTGAATGCAACTCTGATCATAATTATTTCTGCAACTAAGAACGATATACTATATATTACTGCTAAAAAAATTGAAATTGATAAACTAGAACTTGCTAAGAAGAAATAATTTGTCCATGTTAAATTAGTTTATTGATCCTTCAAGCAGGAAAAAAAAAGTATTTTGTCATTTTTGGAGGCTTGTAAGATTCAAACGTACTGAAACGTATGAAAACTCGAGTTTAGAATGAGCTGTTTAGAGCACTGCATTCAGCTCTGGGTCCTCAATGTAATAAAGACATGGACTTGTTGGAGTGGGTCTAGAGGAGGACCACAAAGATGATCAGAGGGCTGGAGCACCTTTCCTATCAAGACAGGTTGAAAGAGCTGGGCTTGTTCAGCCTGAAGAAGGGAAGGCTGCAGGGAACCACTACAGCAAACTTCCAGTACTGAAAAGGAGAGACGGGAATCTTTAACAGTGATGGGACAGGGAGTAATGACTTGAAATTAGAGTAAAGATTTAGACTAGACATTAGGAAAAAAATTTTTCACAAGGACAGTGGTGAGGCACTGACACAGTCTGCCAGGAAAAGCTCTGGGTGCCCCATCCCTGGAGGAAGGTGCTGAAGGCCAGGTTGTGTGGGGCTCTGGGCAGCCTGTTCTTGGGGATTGGAAATAGATGATCTTCAAAGTTCCTTCCAACCCAAGCCATTTGTGATTTACATTTGGGAATTACAGATGTATTATTATAGCAGTTATGATCAAAAGTGGATCTGTAGATATTTAGCAATATCCTAGGAAACTGAAGACAATGCCAGAAACCCATGGATCAGAGTGTGATTAAAATGTTTTTGTTTCTTTATGTTTCCTTGAAGACTTTGCACAGTCATACAATTGGCAGTTTCTGTTAAATATTAATTTAAATTTGTTGCTTTGCAGACAGACCTAAAATGAAGTTTTTAGTAAGAATTGCTTTTAATTATATTGAACTTAGTTATCTCACATCAAATCTAAATTCTAAGTGGTAATCATTATGAATATCTATCATATATTTTCTTACCTTGTTTCAAACAAACGTGTTCAAACTTGGCTTTTCTTGCATCTCTTTACAACTGAAAGTAACCTTGATGGGTTAATGTACAAGGTATATATGTATGTCAGATATGTATCAGGTACTATGTCTGTGCATTTCTCAAGTGTATTCCATATCTCCTTGTTTAGAATTTTTTTATCAAGGAACTATCTTTGTTATCATCTGACAATCTAATATCATGCCTGATTTTTTTTTTCCTCTACTTAATATTGTTTTTAGAGTGAGTCCTTACTGCAGCAGAAAACTAAAGAGCAAGAAGTCGCTTTGACAAAAGAGACTCTACTCATTTTCAATGACATGAGAATGAAGTTCCCAGGAAAAACAGATGAAGAATCAGAATTAATTATAGAAGAAGTAAGTATCTATAAATAAGAAAGAAGAATTACAGTCTAGATACTTACTGTTTATGCTGCTAGAATGAAAGAAAGTAGAAAGTTCAATTTATGATTCATGAGCTCCTGTGGCCTTAGAACTTCCATAACTCAGGATAATTCAAAGATTTCAAAAGCTTGCAGCTTTGCACACTTTCTGACCTTAAAAAAGCAGCACTGAAAACATTCTTATGCCTTTATAAAATATATGACAACTATCAGAAAGATTAGGAAAAATCTTTTCAGTTTTTCATCGGGGAGACAGTTCGGACTTTGAAGTAAGTTAAGAATAATGTTACAACTCATTAACAGTTTATATTTTATCTGGTATTGTTAGTGCAGATCCTGACATGTTTAATTTGAATATGCTTACTGGAGAACACAGAGAGGTTTGCTGGGAGGTTGCTAGTCATAACGATCACAATTCACACTCTTTTTTTGGCTCCTATAGCCTGCTAGCTTGCATTTTCTCACATCCAACATTCCATCAGCCTTACCACTTGATATATGAAGCAATCCCTGATCTGAGGGAGAATTAAAAAGCAACATCTAATATTCAGCTATATAAGAAAAAATATATGGTATTTAAATCTCTTATAGATCTCTACTGCAAAGAAACTAATGTAAGCCTGGAAAAGAAAAAAATAGAGAGGTTTTTCTCAATTCAGTAGAAATAGAGGGATGTAGTCATTTAAATTAACCCCTGTATTCTGTTGTAAGTAAGCAGCTCACAGTGCGTTTAAATTCATCAGGCTAATTCCTTATCCAGTTGGAAATGCTCTTTATTCTCTTCTGTGAGTTTTTGAATTTGTAGAAATGTTTTTAAGTCTCCAATAATCTGTGCAAATGCATCACAGTGGAATTGTCCTGAATTGATGATTAATTTAGTTGATTTTAAAAGACAGCATTTGTAAATAGCATGTTTGGATTCTCTTCTCAAAACTAGAAATAAAATTCATCATTAATTTTACTTTCAGAAATGCAAGAGCATATGCATATTTATCTATCTACGTGTGTGTGTGTGTGTGTGTGTGTGTGTGTGTGTTTGTAAATGCACTCCATCTAGTGGTGCATTCTAAATAGAGCGCTAGCATGATTGTAAATACTATTTCTTACTGCAGAATTCTCCTTAAAATTCATCTGGCTTTAATCAATTTCTGTTGGAAAATATTTCTTCATGGAAGTAAAGAAGTAATTGTATATTAGCTGTCAAGCAGAGCTGGCCATAGGTCTGGAATAGAACACGAAGATAGAATAGTAAAAATGTATGCTCACAGTTTAAGCTATTTTGTTAGCCGACATCGTAAAAGGAAAATATTGCTCAACAACAATGATCATTTATAGAACACATGTTTTCGACGTGTATCTGATGTCCGTTATGAAACAAAGAAACTGTTATGCATTGTGGAACTCACAGTACTGTTTTGAAGGAATCACAACTGTGTCAGTCAAGACAGGCTTCTATCTGCTTTGTAGTGTAGGGCTGTCAAAATCTAGGTACTAAAGATGGAAGGATTAAACTGCTGAACATATCTTGGCAAATGTCTCCCAATATGAATTTGAAAATATTTTAGAGAGAATCTTTTTACACAGAGATATTCTAGATAGTCCATATGTTAAAATTGTGAATATCTGTGAATGAAGTGTCAGATTATGATTATTTTTATATGCATTTATTTTTTTTCTTTTGTTTTGCAATGACTACAGATAATGGATAATTGGAAGTACCATAAAACAAAAGTGGCATCATATTGGTTAGTAAAACTGGATTCTGTAAAGCAACGAAAAGTAAGTGATACAGATTTCGTTCTCTCAAGATCATCAGGTGTAGACAAATAGCAGTGTGCCTACTGGTGTTTAGCAGTTTTTGAGAGTGACTTGAGATGTTCCAATACTGGCTAGTTTCTCTAATGCATATGGATTAATCCTATTACAGGTAATGATGATGCTCCGTATTTAGACAAGTGTAATTATTCTGAAATATAATTACAAAAACAATTTCTTTGAAAACTGGACTGCTGAAAGAAAAGGGGAAAAAAAAAAAGCCCTTGGATACCGATCCTTTTAGCAAACATTCTGAGAAGGGCACTGATTCAGCAGATTTGATTGATAAGGATAGGTTAGTCAATAATTTCAGACTAGGAATGTTAAAACTCCATTAGGAGTTAGTGATATTGCACTTCGTTAGTTGAGTCTTTGACACACTGTTTTACAACAGATCATGTTAAAGAAAAAACAGGCCAGCCAAGCACAGATTTTTAACATTGTTATAGCATTCAACTGTCTACTTTAGTCTTAGAAAGGAATAATTACATTTATTTATCATTCTGTCTTTATTCATCTGCTGTCTATGAGCTACTGTTGTATACAGCAGCTGAAGAATTTTTTATCTTTTTAAAAACTGACACAGTATAGGATGCCAGACATATCTGTGTGACATAACATATGTCAGTCAAAGTCATCTTCCCAATATAATATTTATTTAACTTAATGTAGAAGAAATTTTTTTTGTTAGTACTTAGGTGACCCTAAAGCAGTATTTGGATTTTAGTTTCAGTCACTGACAAAATATGTGGATTAGCATATCTGTTCCAGGCATTTAATTTCTGTATTTCTCAGTTTCACAATCTATTTTATCGACCATAAAAGTAAGCAACTTAATAAAAACGCTGCACACACGATAAATACTATCATTGGAAAAGGTTGGTTGATGGTTGAACAGGAGAAGTGTTTAAAATCAGCCCTATGATTCTCAGGCTTTCAAACTGTATTTTATTGAACATTGCATTAAATGCTTGTTTTCGTACTGGACAGAGAGAACATTACCTTAATGTGATATCATTTGATAGAAATATATCTGACTATTCAAGTCAAATTATGAAGTTCAGATGCTGCATTGAATGTGCATCTATACAGCTTTTAAAAGTTAAATTAGACATGACAGACTTGACAGCGTGGAAAGCTATAACATAACTAGAATTCTTCTTTAACCATGTCAAGTGGCAGCACTATAACTTAGCAGACTTCTTGTCCATTGTCCAGAATCTGTACAGCAGCCGTCTTCATTTGCTGAAATTGTTTAATTTTTTTCGTATCCTAGACCTTTTCCACTGCATATTCCTTTGTCTAAAATGATCTAATTTGTTTCTTGTTACAGGAATGACTGTTGCAATGCCAATAGGCATTCACATAGGTCTTTTCCACTGTGTGCATGTGGCAGTTATAACCTTTAGTGCAAATCCAGAGAGAGGTTTAGTGTGGACTTGTAGTGATATAGAGGAAGAGTTGCTGGGAGGATGGGGAGATGGACAGATATAGGTACATATACATATATATAGCTAACAGTGTCTCAAATTCATGCTGCTGCTGCAGTGAACATCTCTTTGCAGCAGAAGTCTATGGGGCAGCTGGAGATAATAGGGGATATGTTGCCAGAACTGATTCCTTTAGTCTGTGCAGCTATGAGTGTGAATAAGGGTCCCTGAATGAGGCCCATAATTACAACTGAGATACAGGGCTTTCACAAAAGACTAGTTAAGGTACTTTGTTTTCTTTTTTCTCTCTCTCTCTCCAATTATTCTTTTTTCCTCTCTACCTTCCTTTCCTTTTCTGTCTTCACCATCCCCTATTCTTGTTTTTCATTCTTTTCAGAATGTTCTCTTGTAAGCACTATTATTATAATTTCCAAAAGTCTACAGTATAGGTTAGTTATGCCCTTTATTTGGCTGGCAGTCATGTAAAGGCAAGGGCACATTTACGTTGGGATGATACAGGTTGATATGCTAGGCCGTTATTGGTAAAACTGCACAACCACGAATATGGTTGTCTTTGCTGCTCTTTTGGGGGGCATCATTTGCTACTTGGGAAGCTAATGATTCTTGAAGCACAAGTGGGCCCTTCATCTTTGGACGCTGGAAATAATTTTTTTTTTCTTTACTGTTTTTAGCCTCAATCCCTTCAAGCTATCAGATAGTTATTCTTGGAAGGGTAGTTCATAAAAATGGATTAACTTTGACAATGACATTGCAGCTCAGGACTGCCAAATGTAAGCTTTTGTTGATTTGAAAGAAGTGTGTTTTATATTCCAGTGGGGTGGGTAAAGCAGAAAAGAGCTCAAGGTGAAGCATATTTATGCAAGTAAAGAATCTGTCTCAAAGGTACTTTCTGCAACTTTGTGAAATACAAAACAGGAACTCAGTCCCCTTAACTATACTTCAGAATTAGTGGCAAGTTCTAAAAAAACGAGAAGAAAATACCTGGGCAATGCACAAGATTTCACGGTGCTTGTCCCTGACAGATGTATTTTCTTAAATATTATTCTACATAATGTAGAGAAATTAAACTCTTGCTCATATTCTTCCCTTCTAACATTACAACATTACAGCAGAGTTAAAGGAGGCATTTAGAAGAAAGCTATGAAATCAGTACATGCTAAAATGAAATTTAATCTTCCAAGACTTTTAGGAAAAAGAGACTTCTGTATGACAGGAGTTGTGACTGTTTTGTGTTACATCACTTTACATAATTTCTTTAAAAACTGTTTTGATGGTTACCAGAGGTCTGTTCATCTTGTTTTGAATATACTCTTTTATAACATCTTGTTCTGTTACACTTAGATAATTGGCTATGATGATGATGTAAATTGATGTAAACAGAAAGATGAAGGCAATCTAGGGAAATTAGCTTAGAAAAATGGGTTTGTATGCTCCATGAAGTTCCAGCCCTTTTGCAATGCCTTGTCTCTTTTTCTTAAATGGATGATTGAGGCTGTGTTTGCAAATTAAGAACAATTAACTGTGATATTTCCCACTCTGGCGTACTGGCAATGTCAACACAGCAAAAACAGAGCAGGTTGTTTTTTTTCCCCCTCCATAGTACCTGACAGTCTGTAGCTTGCTATAAGATGCAAGGCTCTATCCAGATGCTAAAACAAAGGCTACTCAGTGGCATCTAATCTTTCTATCTCACTCTTGGGGATCAAGTGTGAGAGATCACAGCCTATTTTTTCAACTGTATTTGCAAAGATTCTGAACAGATAGGACAGCAGTGTTCTCGTTGTAACTGTATGCACTGGATTAAAACAACACCTATACATGGATACAATCCTATTTCTTCAAAAAAGAGCTCAAATAACATGTCAATGACACATCTCATCCGGGTTTTTATCAGACATCCACAGGTTTGTTTGTTTGTCAAGTGTGATAAGACTATTTATGAACAACAGTTTGTTATGCAGATCTAAAAAATTGAAATTCTACATCATGCTTCCATATTTTGTTTTTATTAAATCTCCTTCACCTTTTGAGACTTATATATTTAGCCATACAAGTCTGTCTTTCATACATCTAAAAGTTGCCACAGAGAGTACCATACTTTCTAAATTTTCAAATTTGCAACATCTTATACTGAAAGAATACCTTCATCAGTTCACTGCTCAGTTGAGTGTGATGCTTTTTTGGAGATGATATTTTTATAAAGAGGCAACAAGAGTGCCCATGTTATGTAAAATTATGGGTATGTGGTTGGTTTTGTGGGTTTTTTTTTTTGTTCTTTTTGTTGTTTTTTTTTTAAAGGCTACATGCACCATAGGCTCTTTTAGGGCAGAGTTCGGAGCTCCAATGAGGAGGGCAAGTTACTACTAGAGTGTTCTGGAAGTTTACTGTTTCCTATTCCTGGTTTTATTGATGTATCTGAATAAACAGATGTCAGTACATTCTTCCAGCTTGTTTCCTTCCAGTAAGTATAGAGGGATCTTAGACGACTGACCTGAGAGAACTTACAGATGTAAAAACAGACATGACGAATCCCACTTTCCATTTTATATTTTTTTACATATATATAAAATATCTAAAATGTCTTTCACTGCTATAGACATTACTCTTTTTACTTTTTAAATATTTTCCTATTTTGTTGCTTATTTCTCAGCTGAAAGCTAAATTAAAATAGTTTGATCTAGTGTAAATGCTGAGTTTCAACAGACATTAAACCAGAAACAGCTTTTTTAGTTTTTCAGGACATTTTAATTCTTTATAAAATACATGGCATTTTAAAAGGGAGGGGAAAAAGAGATAATCTTCAAATTTATAATATTTGGGTTGTTAATTATGTTGCTTCTAGTCTCTAATTTTGTTTCACTTTAAATGCTTTTTGCCGTTTAAATTAGCTAGTATTCAACAGACTAAAAAAAAAAAAAGGAAAAGAACTTTTTTGCAGTAAAAATATTTTTATTTAGTTTTCCAAAATTTTATTGACAGAAAAAGCATCTCATAAAGGTTTGCTGCTGAATGCACAGAAATGAAATGTAGTCATCTGTGGGAATTTACAGCTATGCAGTGATCTGTGTGTGCAGTGAATCAGAGAGCAGTTGTTTTTTAGATTTTGCAGTATGCCTTTCTTTGATACGCTTCAAATACTGTTACCTAGGTTTTGGATATAGTCAAGACAAGTATTCGTGCGGTCCTCCAGCACGTCTGGAAGGCTCCAGACATTGAAAATCTGCATCTGTACCGTCTCTTTAACCGTGTATTTAATCGTTTACTTTGGAGCCATGGTCAAGGTCTGTGGAACTGTTTCTGTAATTCAGGGTAAGCCCATTTTACTTAATATCTTAATCTTTTTAGTAACTTCACAGTTACGATCAATGCAAGCATATTTTATTGCTCATTTTCATTCAAGAGAACACTGTAATACATTGAACTCATTTTAAAACAATGTATAGATATAGTATAATTGGAAATCTAATAACCTATGCCAACTCTTTCAGTAATGGAATCCAACATTTAGTAAGATTTTCACAAATATAATAATCTGAGGACATAATCTAATTTTCTAAATAGCTGAGCTTTTGTTCAACTCTTTCATTTGGATAATCCACAATTTTTAGGCCAGGTCACTGTGTCAAATGTGGACTTACTCTCCAAAAAATCATTGCTGTCTCAAGACTTGTGAGAGGAAAGTTCAATCTCAGGTGCAACTATTTCTTGCCAAACGCAATCTCTGTTCTGTCATTTACAAATAATGGGTCAGAATTTTTGAGCTTGATTATATTTGCTGGTTCACACAGTGGTGGGAATTTAAGTATGTGCAGAATAGGAAATGTGCACACTGAAGTAAGCAGATATGCTTGGATTACAAATAAATTTTCTAGAGAGGAAAGAGCAGTCAGGCCATATTTTGAAAGTTCAATATCCTATGCTTCAAAATCTACATTCCTGAAATCAATGACATTTGTGTAAGGATTTTTTATACCTGTGGTCTGATTCTCCAAATTTCTTGATAAAATGGTAATGTGTAAATATGAGATATATTGCACACAAAAATACATTTTTTCTGAAAGTATATGTACAGTTTTTAAAAGAATGGGATGGGATTTTAGTAGCTTACATAAGATGTTTCAAGTGGCTTATTGAAGATGAACGACAAATGTCATATGCTAATGGCTTTGTATCTACAAAAGAATCAAGCTCAATATATTCTTTTCTTGCAGTTATTTGTTGTATGTAGAGAACACATGTACTGCACTTGTTAATTATTTCCTAACATAATAGAAGAATGTGCTAACAAAAATGAGGGATCTGAGAGCATCCAAAAGGTCATCGATTTTGTTGTTGTCTTACAGTTATTTTCTCATTGCTGAAGGTTTGTTGTGCGAACTGTTAAGTCATCTTATTTTTTTTTTTAGGGTTAAGACTTGTTAGAAGTAGCTGTCAGGAATTTAGCATGCTCAAAAAGTTAACACAGAAACCTTTTCTTAAGCTTGTTTTTCCAATCTAAAACACTTCTTTTACATAATCCTCAACAGCTAAAGAGTCCCTTCTTAATGGCAGTAGAGGTGTGCAAATCTTTTAGTCAAAACTAAGTTTTTTGCTGTGATATAATATTATACGTTCCCTTTCAGTAATGCTATTCTTATTTTGAATCTTATTTTTTAGTGTGCTCTTTTGCAAATCATCTAATATGCGTTGAAAAAAAATATCTTTTAAGCTTTTTCTTTTTAAAAATAATATATTTTGTTCAAAACCAATAAAGAATTCTGTTCACTTGGCTCGGGGAAACAGTCTTTGGGTTCAGTGAAGAGCAGGATTTCCCATCTAGCAATACTTTCATTGATGCAGATCAAGTCCCAGCTGACTTGTGAGTGGAGCTATGCTCTTTGACAAACATCCAATTCCTTGTAAAAGGAGTTGTTATGTAAAAATTTCTAAAAATACTGTAGAAGTATATATATATATGAATAACCACTATGTGTTGAGATCATTCTACATGTAACATACCTGCTACAAAATTAGTAGAAGCAAGCAAGTTGAAAGGATGTTTGTATCTAGTCAGTATGTTGTTTATTCAGTTGCAATAAATCACTCTTGCCATGTAATGCTCAACACAGACCTCAAGACAACTATGCAACAGAGACCAGCTTCTCATCTGTCATCCTTAGGGTTAACTGTGCCATTTTAAAGAACAGTTTAGAATAAATGAAGGGCATGTGTAGAATTTGGGGACAAATGTGTGGAGGGAGGTATTACTGTGCTAATCAATAAACAGTATGAGTATGTGAAAATATATCAAGAAGTATGGCACTTTTATTATCAATTAATATGTACATCTTAGGAGAATAACAAAGATAATAGCCATTAGCTTTTTTTTTTTTTTTTTTTTTTTATAGCAAGAAGAATGAACAAAAAAACCCAAAGAAATCCTAGTGGAATTACATGGATATAGATGATTTCATAAGGCTTCATTTGTATTACTACATAGTAAACAATTACAACTAACCGGAAGTTACAGTTGACCTGAGATGGCTTTAAAAACTATGTGAAATAATTGAAAGTATTGCACAACCAAGCATAATATTCTCTAGATCTATTAAGAGCTCAGTGATTTCTTACTCATGTATGGAAACTTAAGTTACAGCATAATAAATTAAGGTTCATTGGGTAACAGTACTCCAGTCATTGTGACTGCAGTATAACGGAGTATGAACTGAATCTGTGTAGCTTATGGAGGAGATTGATCAGTAACACTTATATGAAATCTCATTAAAATTCACACATATATTTCCAAACATCAATCTTTTTTATTGTATATCATCACACTCGTAATCAACCATAATTATAGCAGGCCATATATTCTTCTTCACTGATAAAGTCTTTCATAACTGTGGGAAAGTAATCACAGACCTCAAAGCCCAGAACTTAAGGAATTTATCAGGATAGTTTCTAGCAGGAGATTTTGGAGATTTATGGGTTGAATTAGAAAATAATTACGTGTAACACTGTGAATCCGGTGAACGAATGTAATACTTAGAACTTCATTTTTGCTCCTTTCCACCAGATGTCACATGGTGGAAGAAATAATAAAGACAGTAGATTAATTTTCATGCAATAGTAAATGGGAAAATTTCATGGTCAGGGAACAATATTGAGAAAAATACATTAAGGAAAGCAATTCTTCAAGGAGTATAATTATTCTGCTTATTAAATAAACACCTTTGCCTTAGAAAACATGTTTCTTAACTCATTATATGGATAAGAATTAATGAGACAAATACTTTTGTCAGTTGAATATTACCTATGCGATGGAAAATCTGTAGGACTGAACGGTTTCAGCTTGCACATACTATTTAGACTGGGAATCCAGGCTGAAAAATCAGGTATACGTGGTTTGTTTTACTCATTAATATTCATAATTGCATGCTAATACATTGCAATTAAAAAAATATATATCTCATTAGGCTGAAGAAGGCATGCTGGTTCTTTGATGTGTACTAAAATCCATTGTTTTAAGAACAAACATCTTACCTCAGGGATGTAAAGTCTACTACTGATCTCAGTGGGAAAAGGTAAATCATCCCAAATGCCATGTCGATCCCAAAAAATAGATGCAGCAAATTTTCCTCACTCTCTGAAGTGCTTCTTTAATAACCAAGTAAAAAGCATCAAGCTTACAATGCCATCTGTGGTACTGGGAAATGTTTTGATGAAAAAGTGGCCTTCACAGCGACCACATTGCCTTTAGAACATAGATAATGTTCTGTAATCTGATCAGGCTTTCGCATGAAGCATAACATAGGCACAAACACAAGTGTTAGTGTATATACTAAAACTAATATCAACTTCTGTAATAAACATATCAGATATGCTTTATCACTTATTTTTTCATTTTTTTGTTATTGTTTTTGAAACGGAAATGGCTTTTTAAGAAAACAAACAAAAGCATGATGGTCTGCATTTAAAAAAGAAAGCTTCTGTACATGCACCTTGTAAGCTGTACTTAATAGTGGGAGATCACCTCCATATGGCCAGATGGGATAATAAGCAGTATTTCAATGACTAAACTTAAAATCTTTCTTCTTATTGGGACAGGAAAGCAGAATGTGTGCTAATCTCCTTTATGTTCTTTTAATATTGATTTCTTGGTATTATGAACTTAAGTTATTATTGTGCTGTGGAGAGATTTATAAATAACATATTGCTTTTATTAATATCACATCAGATCTGCATTCAGCTGGTGGCCTGTTAAAAATAGTGATTTTTCTTATTCCTGTTACAAGACACCATCTACAATTACGTGACAGCAAATCTTTACATGCTAAACCTAAGTAATAGCCCTATAAATGCTTAAGGAACATATTAAATGAAAAATAGATTTGGGATATTTAACATATGAAAAAAAACTTTTTAATATGGTATTTGGACTCCCAGCATCTGAATTATTTGTTAAATATTATAGAATCTTTCTGTAAACAGGCATGTTAATGCATTTTCTCCTGTTCCTCTATTGTTAAATCTGATATAAAGGAATAAAGCTCACAGATTGCAGAAAACATGAAGTCTTATCTGTTTCCATAACAGGAACTCTTGGGAAACCATATTTAGTAAAAGCACAGAGGTGGTGACTCCTGAGCAACTACAGTGTTGCCAACGAATAGTGCAGCTTTGTAAGCACTGCCTGCTAGTGGTGTACAAATATTCATCAGACTCAAGAGGATCCCTGACTGGAATTAGTCCTAGCTGGGATGATACAAGGTATGCACTTTAGTGTTCTCTTCCTAAAATACAATGATCAAAGGTAATACTGGGACAGAATTAATATAAGCCACTACTGCCACACTTCCCTTTAAACCTAGTTCACTAAATATTAAAAGAAAAAAAAAAAAAAAAAAAGGAAACCAACCAACCAAACAAACAAAAAAACAAAAAGAAAGGCAAAAATAAAAAACAAAACCCAGTTCCCCTGATAGAAAATGAAGACCATTTTGAGCTCTCTAGTCCTGTCATGAAGTGCTTCCCAAAAAATCAGGTATTTAGATTTTGTGTGAAACTACACTTATTAAAATCTTGATTGCCAACTGCTCAAGTAGCTGCAGCAAAGGCTTTTTGCAAAGTGAACTGAAAATTTCCTTTCTTCCCCTTCTCAGATCCCTCAAAGTCATTGATTCCAGATTTGCATTCCTAGAGGTATCCTAACATGTATGATACTTCTGGCTTGACATTCGCAGTGGGATGCTATAGGGCCTCAGCTCCAGCCAAGGGTCAGGTAAGTGCCATCTGATTTACTGTATTGCACAGTTTTGCAAAGTTGATTTCCAAACCCTACAGATTTCAAGTTTTATTATTTCATCTCACAGAACATAAATATGTTTTCAAACCTTGCAAAACAGCATCATATAGTAAAAAAAAACCTCTTTGGCACTTACCCGATTCTCCATTGGCTGGTTTAGTTTTTCAACTGGATACAATAAGGATCATATTGTCAGCACGGGGATCACTGAAAATCCTCCCAATGTGGGAGTCAATGCTCTGTAATTTAACAACCTTAGATGGAAAATTAAACATAAGTTTCAAATTACTTAGGCTCCAAATTCTATCCATAATGGCAATTTGAATTATTATGTATATAAAATACAAAAACTTTGTTTATATGAAACATGTCACAGACGCTATATTAGAGAAGAGTGAGTTAAATATCATGTGAATAGCAAAAGCTTTGATAAATTATCTGTTAAATTTATGACTTAATTGTGTACTTGGTATACCTAAGGCCAGTTATTTGATATACTAAATTCATTTGTTATTGTTGTATAAATCTAAAGGTGATCTAACAATTCAAAACCAGCTGAAAACTGCATTTGTTTGGTCACAGCAAAAGTCGAAGTACCTTAGCCACAAAATGAATCCTATTCAATATCAACATTACTGAGCTGCAGCAGGAATCCGGTAAAGTAATTTGGTTTAGTTCAGAGTAGAAAATCTTCAGGCTTGAAGTTTTTATTGCTTTTACTGTTAATACTGCAGAAAATTTTTCATTGTAACCAACCACAAACTATTCAAACTGATCAGATTACTCTAATGTACTGCAGCTAACAATCTTGCATTTGGAAAGAGGTGGAATGGATGACCCAACAAAACTTTTTTCATCTCTGGTTTCTGTGTTTATTTTGACACTGAATGGAAGTTTATTCAAAACTTTTGCAAGCTAGAGGAATCTAGGACCTGGTAAAGCAATATGGTAGTTAACTATGACATTCTGAATTTGTGAAATGAAAGATACATTTGGAAACAAATGCTCTTACCTATTGTGCCCCACATCATGTAAGGCAATGAACTACTATTTCTAGAAATGGGAGAAATACAGTATTGTTTCATCTAAGTTTCTGTCCTTAAATTACATAAGAAGCTGCACTACCACTAATAATTTTTTTGCCTAATAGTTAAATTTTGCAGGTGCAAGAGATCAGAGGTAATTTAATAAATGTACGAGAAAGACATTGTTTCAAGACTCTATAATGGCGAACTTGAAGAACTCCCTTTGTCTTTTTTTTTTTTTTTCTGACCAGAACATTGCTTTTTGTTTTGTGTTGATGACTAAAGCTTTCAAAGTTAGCAGATACTCCTTTATTTGGTAAAATCTATTTGTACATAGGAAGGGAAAAAGGATGTAATGAAAACAGCAGGGGTTCTTCTTTCCATTTTTTAGATTTGTTCTCAATCCCAGCTCCTAACTCTACATCCACTCTATGTGATACAGAGAATGAATAGGAGTAATAGTGCAAATGGGAATTAATGCCTTTTTTTCCCACACAAAATTAAGCGTAGAGAAAACAATGAGAGTACTCAAAAGTTATACCAAAACCTCTTCAGGTAATAGCCAAGAAATAAACTGTATAAAGTGCCAGACCTTTCACATTTTGATAAATTCACTGACGTTAGAATATTTAAGAAATGTGAAAAATACCATCTATTACTAGATCCTTACAGCTTGCGAAGTGGCATTATGACAAATTCTCTGACAGGCACTAGGGCTGTTCTCTGTATCAACAAGAAAACACAGAACTCAGTCTGGTGAGGTAGTGAGCTATGAAACACATCACCAGCCCAGAACAAATCAGACGTTTTTTTCCCCCCTGTAAATTGATGAAAATAAAAGAATAATAATATTTTGATAATAACGTGATCCGTAAGATCAATCCTTTAACTTATTCATCATTAATCAATATGACTCAGTAGAATGATGCAATGATTTTTTTAAGCAATAATTTATATATTGTGTTGTGTTCATCCATCCTAACACTGCCATAACTCATTACAATGCTCTGATTTTGTATGGATGTTACGTCTACAGTTACTGTGCTCATGTAATAATTTCTGCAACTATTAGTAAATGATAAAATAAAAACAGATTTAAGAATGAGTATTAGAAATGATAAATCACTTTTATAGCATTATATAAAATACGAACAATATAGCTGTATGAATATAGAAATATAAATCATGTGACTCACAGTGTTGTTGCATCACTGTTTCTTGCTTTACAAGAATTGTGATGCTAGCATGGCAATTTTTAGGGAAGGACAGCAGGAAATCAAAGCTGAGAAATTGTTTTTTTTTTTCCTAATAAACATTTTTTAGCAACTTAAATTTTAATAATCTAGTTAACATAAACTGCAGTTTTTACCCAGTTTAAATTGAACAAGTAGTTCTACAATAGCAAAGACAATGAGTGAAATGTTAAATTTGGATGGCACTGTTGCACAGGATTACTCTTTTAATTTACCTTCTTGCTTTAAACATTGAGAACCGGCAAGATGTTTGATTATCATACACCATCCTGAAATTTTGCTAAACTGTCCCTGACCTTAGAATCTGTTTAATGAGTTATTCATTGCCTAGTATTCCTTATGTGTTATAAATAGTGCTTATCATACATATTTTCTTGTATTTAACCATTATAAAGTAAGCACATGAACAACTAGCTGCTTCAATCTTGAATCTTGGTCTTACCTATAAATTCTGCTATATTTTTCATATCGTTTCCAGGTGTTTATTGCCAGGACCACCACAGTTCATCATGAAATCATCCTCGTCCAACCTCAGCTGCAGTTCATCTGGAATGCCTCACCCCAACATTTTGTTCACACGCAGATACAGTCACTTGTGAAGGAAAAGTTACTTTTCATTGTAAATAATGGCACTCCATTTTTATTTTCAAATTAAATTTGTGATGGAGCTAAATACAACACTGTTATATATAATATACCATATTATGATAACATTTAGCTTAAAACTTACTGTAAAAGCAAAGCTTTTCTGGAAGCATAATAAACCTTGTTAAGTTGTTTACACACATGAATGTGTAGATCTTGCTAGGTTTATAAGTAATTCCTTCCTACTAGAAATGTTATTTTTGCTGCAGAATATATAAGATGGAGCTGATCTTGAAGATCCTATTACAGCGTTACATTATTTTCTACATACAATACTTTTGAGTTGAATATTATTTATTGTAAAGTATGCTATTTATTGTCTCAAATGTAAGACAAGAGCCTTTAAAGAGACAGATGAATAAAAAAACTGTAGTAGAACAAATAAGACTGTAATTATTATTAAAAATAACCTTACCATTTCTTGGATATGTTTAAAATAATCCCCAAAACTCTGTAAGCCAAACATTTCTCCTCTGAAATTACAGGCTCTGCTTAAAGCTGTTGCGCTTCTTAAAGGACATGTCATGGTATCTTTTAGAAAAAGTGAAGAAATTCTGTATGCAAACAGTAAAAATACCAGTTCAGGCATTCACTTTCTAATTGGATTTTTGTAATAATACAGAAGCCAATATTTGTTGTCAGGCTTTCATTCACATTAACTGTGGCCTGTGCCTTTGGGAGCAAGCAGTCACCTACAACTTGTACAAGCATGCATAGTGAGTATTTTTTCTGTTTTACTGCACGAGTGGTGAAACAGACATTTTTAGGAAATACTGCAGCTATAATATATTATTTCAATCTTACACTAATTGGTTTGCTGTAGCTTTTAACATACAATTCAGTACATACTGCAGAATGTGTCATTTAACTAGACAGTATTTTCTAGACTTGTGGCACCTTTAAATGTTGAAATATAATTCATTAGAAAGCTCTCATTCAGATTCAGCTTCCCGTGCCTGGCTGAAGAGCACTAAAAGAAACTGAGCCAGAGCATGGATGTAGAATTAACAGGGCATGTAACCTGAAAACATCATTCAGGTTTGCTATGTAGACCCATTCATCTCATTCAGCACTGTGCCATATAAGCCTTATTCATTATATAAATAGTTATTTAAAATGAATTAACCTAGATTTTAAAATGAATTAAGTTTTTAAACTAAGTAAAGGACAAAGTAGTAGATATTTACCAAAGATGTGCTTACTTTCCAATAATAAAAACTGCAAATGTGTTTGTAAATTACCAGTGAATTTTATGTAGGTTGCTCTGAAAGTAATGCCTCCTGTTTATTTCCGTGGAAACAGCAACAAAGACAAAGAGCATAATAATGCTACTGGTAGAGCAAATTTTCAGCTACTAAAGCTTGTTTTTCAATGTCGTCACCACCATTAGGTATTCATTTTCACTGGTGATAAACACGAGCCTGCATGTCGCACTCACAGAAGTCTGCATGACTGTCCAGAACGTGGCTTGTCTTTCATGTTGCTGTCACCACTGCTGAAACACACCACTCACTGCCTTGCTGTTCTCACATCCACTGTTTGGCGTCCATAAATGCTGACCAAGTGTTGATGAATATCACTGGGAACCAATTCAATGATGCACCTTTGCTTCATCTGCACTTCCATGTCAGATGCAATTCTGTCAGATAGCAAAAAAATGTAACAGGATACCTACTGGGAAGGTTCAGCCTCTACTGCATCCCACCACCACTCAACTCTGATATCGCGGCCAACATCATAAAAAAGGAGGCATTACATTTGGTGCAGCCCTCATAAGTATACACTAAAAAATAATTTTGGGGGGAAGTTGTCCTCAGGAGCAAGTATATTAGAGCACTTTGACTATCCAGAGATTTAAGAGATATTTAAGAGACTTAAGAGATTTGAGACTTGAACTTGTCTGGAACTTAATGTTTTAAGCCTTAGCTATAGCATGTATATCAAGTTGGGAATTTTGGTAAGACTTTTGAAGCCTGTGTTGTTGTCCCTCAGTTCTAGAATTGCAGGCTACAACACAGCAAAAATATTTGTAAACAATTAACAAACCTCTGAGATAAGCCAGATATAAGTAGTCTTCTGGTCTGGTAAAGATTTTTCATTTTCATGGTAATACTAGTTTAGTAATATAGCATATTCACAATAATTGTATATCTCTTTAGATCCATACAGTGACTACTGATAAAGCGTACTGTGGTTATCTGTAACACACAATAAAAGCTGTACATCTCTCTTCCACTGTATTCTGCTGTGGGTCATAGTGGGAAAACCAGCTTCCAGTCTAGCTTGCCAAACTCAGACTGAACCCTGCCACAGCAGGCTCACACAACTCTTTTTTAATTTTTTTTATTTTATTTTATTCTTCTGTTTTAAACTTCTTTTGATCAGTATTCTCAGAGGGCAGTGCTGGGACAGGTCAATCTGTACGGAGTACTCTGGCAATGGAAAGAGAACTCCTATGGGCAGACCTGGAAACAAATAACACACTTAGTATGAACAAAAGTGGACCAGATGGTTGGTGCATGTCTGATGTTACTTATTTCTGCTAACCTTTCCTAATGTGGTGCTGCGTTCCTAACAATGTGGTGATCAATACATAAAATAAGCGTAATCTCAGATTTTCTTGCCAGCTTCTGAGTGTGCATGGCCCACAAAGCAGAGCAGGCTGGCTGCACCTGCAGTCTGATCCAGATAGTGCGAAGGGAGAAAGCATTGCTGCGTTCCTCCCGTGCTCAGTCCTGACCCTGGGCTCGTTTTCTAGCTGCACTACGACCTGAGCAACTGAAAAAAAATCCCTCCGGCACGCGCGGGGCTGTAGCGTTACGCAGGAGCAGAGTTTCTGGCTCACCGCCCCGGCTGAGCTGCGGGCTGGGTTCCGGCCAGGCCTTTGGGGAACACCGGGCAGCGACGTTGCTAAATTCCATTAATGACCTAATCTTTATAAACCCGCTGATACTTATTCAAAAACACTGACGCTTAGAGGACACTTGTATTTCCCATTCGTTTTCCTCGGGGCCGGCTGGCAGCACGCGCAACGGCACCCTGCCGGCCTCGCGCTGCCCATCCCGAGCCGCCGCGCGGGGCGGGCGCCGGGTCCCGCGGCGCTGCACGAGGCGGCACGAGGCAGCCGCTGGCCTGGGAGGCGCCGCGCTGCCGCCCGCGTGTGGCCGCGGCACGAAGCGGGGCTCACCTCACCGGCCCGGGGCCGCCGGCAGAGGGCGGCAGCAGCAGCAGCAGCAGGTAAGGGGTGGCTGTCGGGACGGGGGGGACCGGCATGGAGGTCAGGGTGCTTCCCCGCCCAGAGGCGGTGCTGCGATAACTTCAGCCTGCCGTTGCAAAATGCAAGGTGTGATCACAGTAAAAAAAAAAAAAAAAAAAAAAAAAAAAGCCTGTACTGCTAGCTGGGTGTCCAAAACCCAAATCACCTCATGGTAGTGATGGCGCAGTCAGGGCAAGCCCGTGCATGGATGTTTGGAAGGAGGCAGCAGCTGCCGTGTTTTGGGTGCAAATCTCTCACGGTTTCTTCAGCGCGGGGCACCTGCGGAGTGCAATGGCTGCGCCGTGCTCCGGCTGCTCACGTGCTCGAGTCGCTTCTCAGCGAGCACGGTCGGGCTCAGAAGGACCACTTACGAAATCTCACAAAGTTTTCGCTCCGTATTTGTGCTGTGAAGCAGTTCTTAACCTGTGAGAGTGCAGCCTCCTGGCATCTCCGTCAGCCTTTACTGGAGAAAAGCACCTTGGGCACTTGGTGGGAGTTGCGTCGGTGTGTGCTGCGAGCAGGGCGCCCGGGGGCTGACCGGAGGGCATGGCTGGAAGCTGCTGCTGCAGGGCTGGTACCTGTCTGTTCTGCACTGCGGGCCCAGGAGTTTCGTTTTCTGGTAAAAGAAAGTGCATATAAATTTGCTTCTTTAGTTCTTGGTAACAAGGTTGGGATTCTAAATACAAAATCAGAGCAGCAAAGAAAATACACCTTTGAAAGGATTGGTTTGGCAAAGTAACTTTCAAGGAAACAGTATTCATAGCAATACTCACTTGCTAGACGTTGGCCTTGGGCTGATGTTCTGCCTGGAATATTTTGTCCTCTATGTGGATGCCAGCCACCTAATTTCTGATTCTCTATCCAGGAAATTTAACGAATTCACATCAGCTGTTAAAACTACATCTGAATGATTTCGTTGCTGGGCTAGCTGCTCACGTTCATTATTTAACACACACACATCTATTTACAGTTTTTGCCCTTTCCTTGAATCTTCAAGCGGAAAGTTTGGATTACATTGACATTTATATAACATCTAATTTAGGCATTTGCAAATGTGACTGTTTGCAAGTTAGCTTTGCATGCAGTGTTAAAACGGTTAACTTGGAGCTGTTGTATTTATTCCCATTTTCAGGAGATCATTTGCTGTTAAATCGTATAGCTGCTGGAAAATCTTTCACTCTGGCATTTGCTAAAAACGTTCGTAATGTTTTTCTGCGTGTGGTGAAATTCCCATGCATTAGTTATTATTCTGCCTCTATGTTCTTTGTTCTCTGTCAGCCACCTCTGTGCAATTTCCTATGTTGTTCAAATGTTTTGTTAATGCAGAAGCTCTTTGTTGGTATGTAAATAGCTGTAGCACTTAGGACTCTCAAGGAAACCAGCAGTAATTTTACCATTTATGTATATGGAACAAGAGCAGATTCTACTTGTGGGGGAGCAAGACAGACAGTCTTAGTGGCTTTTTGTGTGTGTGTGTGTGTGTCCTTATTTCTTCTCTTAAAACAAAAGGCAGCCTTCCCGTAGCAAGGAGAACTCTTATCGCTGCACTTAACACTCCCCTTCTTTCACAATAGGTGATATTACCACAAAATTATGCATTTAAAACTGATTTTTATGGCCTTTAAATGCCCTGTGAATGGGTCTGTCTGTTCTTAGTGACATAGAGCAAAATGGAGCCTGCCTCTGGCTGAAATGGTGGTTGACACCGAGCTCCAGAACCCGCTTTATATTCCATATCAACTGCACAGCGGTCGGTCACCTCTGCGCCTATCGCTGTCAGGAGTTATCAGCCTCGGCGCGGAGGGCAGCAGAGTGCAGGGAAGTGACCCGTGCCCGCCGTGGCTGCTGCACTGTGATCAAACAACTGCTCGTGGCTGCTGGAAAGCAGTTCTGCCAAGCGCTGTTACGCAGCTTGCTGCAGCAGGGTGACGGGATGTGCAGCTCGCTTGCTGCAGAGGACTGGCTTTGAAAGCTGAGGGTAGCGGTCATGAAGTACAGTGATGCCCAGAAGGGCTAAGAGGAGTCAGGATATCTGGTAGGAAAATTCATTATTCCGGAGCAGGTTTTGCATTAAATGCTTTTCTTGCGCCCATTCTTGTGGAAATGATTGGCTCTGTTGCAGCAGAACAAAAGACTGCTTCATTAAATGTTATATCTGTGAATTTTTACTGAATGGAATTGTGTCATCTGACTGCGTATATACTTGATTGTTCCTGTCATAATTCACCACGTTCCACTTTTTAAAAAGTTTTTCAGAAGAGAGTAGAGGGCCCTATTTTCTCAATAGGAGATTTCCATAAGAAGATAAAGGAAAAAATGTCACAGTATACTGTTGTAAGTTCTGTGTAGAGCATCTCTTGATCTGGCTCAGACATCAGACATTGCCCACTTGTCAATGCATAAGGATTTGCCATGGGAGTAATTTGCTTTGCAATGAGCTCTGAGGATACCCATGTGGACTCAGCAATCCATTGAATGATGCATCTGGTGTGAGACTGGGTAGAGGTGAAAATGCTGTATGTTTCCAGGAGGATGCACCTGCACCTGCAGCCAGCTTTGTGCACTCAGCTCTGCTGAGTGCTGAATGTTCCCAGCTTTCACCGAGGTCACTTCCTTGTGGCTCTGACATTGCTCACTGTGCCTGGGACTTGCTGTGTGCCACGCATGACTTCAGGCTTTGTTGGTACAAGCCCATGTTTGGTAAAATAACCAACATGCCTTTGCAAATGCAGTATATTAAGCAACTAAGCATTGCTAATGAGAAGCAGGGTGGACTGTGCAGAGATTTGTACTATCTCTGGTACCTGAATTAGTAGGTGATGCGCAGTGTGACATTTTTAGTTAGAAACACTATGGGTAAATGGCCAACAGTCTCAAATGTATGTCAGGTGGGAAAGAGCTGCAGCAGCTGCAGCTACCCTTTCCCTTTCAGGCCCATTAGATGATTTCTGGCATTCTACTAAGCAGGATAATTGGGAATTACAACCTGTGCTTGCAGGGTTTGTACTGCTAATAGAGGTAATCCCTTCTTTTACACAATCGTATAGGACTCCAGCCATCTGATTTATTTTATTCTAATTCAGAGAATGAATAAAGCACCTGCATAGAGATGACATAGTACTAGAAAATAAGCTACAGGGCAGTTTAAGTTTAGTCACATCATTGTCTGTTGCTTCGGTGTTCAGTACATTATGCCACCAGAGGCAACAGAGAAAGCTTATTGGCATAGTAAAAAATAAGTACTTCTGACACTTAAAATAATTTCTACAAGTGTTGGTGAGCGAGGCCTGACAGCCTCTTCCAATCATTAATTTACTTAACTTGTGGGAAGATCTGTCAGAATGCTCAGCATGAATTCCTGCGGCTGTGTGGTTGGGTTCTGCTCAGGGTGCACTAGAGTTCACTGTATTGCACACCGAGCACAGGCTTTGTGTACGCCTTGAGTTTTGTCTGCAGTTATTTTGGAGGATGTGTTCCTTGCCTGTCACCGCATCCCTTGGTTTTGTTTTGAAATGTGTGACATAAACCAGAAACAGCTCTCTTTCTTCCTTCAGCCTTTTGGCATACGGAGGAAAGGAATGCTTTGCTCCACTGATATGCCACTGCATTTGACAGTGCTGGTCACAATTGCTGAATAATGGAAACATGGATAGCAAGAGAATTTCGGGGGGAAAGCAGTGTACAGTGCAGCATTTTCATACTTACGTGTTTCCAAGCTGCTGGGATCTTTCTTGCTCGCATTATTACAGCTTTCAGAGTAGTGTGGCTGTTTGGTGTGATAGGGGAAGGCATCACTAACACTCAGTGTTCTTTCTGAAGTGGAAAAATTTGCAGTTTTTCCTCCCTACTCCTCCCCCCCCCCTCCAATCAGGTTAAGGAAACAGTAAGTACTGTACATCTTACAACTTCCAAATGCTAACAAATCTGGACTGGAAGCAAAGGTTTAATAGCTATATCAATTAGCAGCTAATGTGAAT